AAAAAAAAACATAACTCTATAGATTTCACAGTAATTAAAAGGGGGAATATACTATATAAAGGAGGGATTTTTGGTGACCAACTTAACCAAGAAATCAATCTTGAGTGTCACTACAAGCAGGACAAGTTATGTATATGATCTTCCTAATGAGATTCCATATCAAGTACACAGTACCACCTACCAAGTACTGCCAAATGTTTTTAACCTCAATATAATCAAGCAACTAGAGCTAACTTCCATTTGATAGGAAATGCAGAGTATAAACTGAGTGACAGATTAGATGACTTAAGGAAACAGACAAATCCTTCATGTAGAATTCTAAAAGACAATAGTTGATTTACCTCTTTAAAAAAAAATCAATGTCATTAAAAAAAACTAAGCAATTACTCCATATTAATGACAAATAAAGAGAACTTCCAAATGCAATGCATAACTATGGATTAGATCTTGGCTAGAACAAATCAACAGCTATATACAACTGGACAAATAATGTAAGTATCAGATAATAATACCCTTGGAGCTGCAAGCTAAATTAGATTGGGGGAAAGTGTCATGGTACCTGATATCTGATATTTGCTTTCAAAAGATTCATAAAAATGTGTGTATAAGTGTGTGTGTACATGTGTGTGTGGTTGTGTGTACATACATGTGCATACAGAGGGATTAAAAACTGAGAGGTGATGAAATGTTAACAACAGTTAAATTTTGGTGACAGGTATAAAAAGTCTGCTCTACCTTTTCTTTCAATTTTTCTGTTTGAGATTTTCCAAAATGAAAAGTAGGAAGAAATAAAATATTGATGTTTTAGTATCTTTACAAGATGATAAATTAGATCCACAACTTTTTAGAAACAAAAAGACAAAGATGAGTTGTGACAGCAGGTAAACATGAGCATGAGCAGGTACCAGGTGTGTATGTATCCTTCACCAGAGCCTTTCTGTCTGCACTGACCATTTCTCCTGCCCCTCCATTCCCTTCATCCTTTTTCTTTTCTTCCTACCCTCTATTCCTCTATTCTTACTTATGCCTTGTGACTCTCCTAAACTCTTAATTCCTCTTGTGGTAATGTATACCTGCAAAATTTGGCTCATCTAGGAGTCACGTTATCATTTTATACATTCAGAGTTCACAAGCAAAAAGAGGAGCAAAGATATGGTTATTAAGGAGTGACTGGTACTGTAAACTATTACTTCAATTCACCAAATATATGCTAATAAATCAGACCTCAGACTATTTCATTACTGTATTACATATTATTTAACTATTTTATTATTAAACTATTTCATTACTATATTAAATTTCATTAAAGTGTGCCCTCTACTCTAACTCTCTATTAACAGTCAGAAATAAGGGCACTGTAAACACTTCTTGAACTCAAGCGACTTTCTATATTGCTCTAGGTCTAGGGTCCTCGGGAATCAGCAACCTCTGCATGCCCTGGGAAAAGGTTAGGAAYACAGATTACTACCCGTCCCCCAGTCTACTAATTCAGAAAAATCTAGGAATAGGGCTCTGATCTATGTTTAACAGTCCTCTCCAGATGATTCTGATACACATTAAAGTTTATAAACCACTCTAGGCTAAGACAGGTTATTTAAAGAGAAAGAGAAGCTTCATTATGTGCTGAATCTAAGCCTGAAGAAATGCTTTTATGATATCAAGGATTTCAGCTGGGCACCAGATGAAGTCAAGTCTTATTTCTGAGTTGGCGTACCTGGGCCGGCCACTGGCACCATGGCCTCTGAATGATCTGACAATTCCAAGCTAAAGCCTCTGATTGCATACAGCATCGAAACAACAATGAAAGAGTTATACGGAGAACAGGTCCGATTATCAGGATTGAGTTTAAATCCAGTGGCACAGGCGCAGGAGAACAGCCCTCCTGGTACAGGCAGGCAAATCTGCTGACAAGCATTCACATTGTTGCTACAGCCATTTGAGGATCCAGCAATGTCTAAATGAAATAAAAATCAGATTGTGACTTGATCCTACCTACTTGTCACTCCAACTCCAATTTTTAAAACTTTATTTTATTCTGCCCACCTATAACTAAAAAAAAAATCAATATTAAAAAATGAAGTGAAAAAAAAATAAAACTCAGTTACCAAATGATTCATTATAAAAATTAATAACACACATATGGTAGGTGGGTTAAAAGCCTAAAAGTAATATTGAGATACTGAAGCTTATGCAATAACACCTAAAAATATTAAAAGAATACCACAACTATTGCATAATAGTTATAAAATGGGGCATCAATTATTTTTCTTCCAGAAAGCATGCAAGAATTAGAAAAGTCAATATACAAATCTATTCATTTTTGCCCTCTTGACCTATGCACTGCCACTTAAAATTATATGAGTTTAATTACATGATGGATGTAATTATATGATGGATGTTTGTTTTAAACATATGTAATAAGAATACTTAAAAGGTATTTTTCCACATGCAAGAAAAATAAGCACCAAGTAACAAACCTAGATTATAAGACAGGAAAGAAATTGACCATCTTTGGTTAGAAACTAAAAGCTATAGAATGCCCAAGCTATTTTTAAAATCTCTATTATAACACTAACATAAAGGGACAAATTCAAAGCTAAAATATGTCTGAAAAAAATATATATTGAAATAGACAACATCTAAGAATAATCCTTTCAAGATTCTATCCTGTTAACATTTTCCCAGCAGATATCCAACCAATATTCTCTATTCTTGTTACTGGGCATAAAGCAGTAAACAAAACAGACAAGACATCTGTCCTTACAGAGGTTAGATTCAATAAGGAATGCAGGCAATAAAAAAATAAATAAATAGATGATGTATCAGGGAGTGCTGAAGCAAAAGCAAATAGTTAAAAGTGATGGGAAAAGAATGGGAATAAGTTTATTCTGAAGACAATATGGTCTTTCAGATGATGTTTAACCATGCTTAAGGCATGGTCATCATTTAAAAAAATATATTCTGGGTAATTTCAATTCACATGTGTATATACACAGACCATGTGTGGACAGATCATTACAGAATGTGTAGAGTGTGAATCCACACCATACATCCATGAAGGTCTCTTAGTGGCAAATACTTACTGCGTCTATGATAAACTTGAAGACCCCTCAGATTTGGAACATTCTCTCTCAAGACTACTTTGTTGGCCCCAGAGGCCTTGTCAACTCTTTCGATGACCTCATACTGTTCATCAGTATAATATAGGAAGGAATCAAAGACTGCAATTCCCCATGGGTGGGAAAGATGGTGCACCAGGATCATTCGCTCTGTACCGTCCACATTTCCTCTTTCAATCTACAAAATCAGAGCTCTCATTAGTTTCACTGATTCATAGTGAAATGAAAGAACATTCTAAAGCTAATATTCTCCTAACAGTAATAACACCTCACACGYATAAGCCCTCTATTCTTTGTAGTGCTTTTTCTTATCTATTGTATGATTGGGGCATCACAAACTAGACTGAACAGGGGTTGGGTAAACATCAGTTTGAGTATTTCATTGATAATAAAGTCAGTTAGCTTTCTCAACTAGCACGGTGAAGAAAAGGGAGTTAAACCTCTAGTCCCTGAGTGTGATATTCTGGTCAAGGGTACCCTGAAATGTCTAATATCAGCCATCACATAGGAGCTGACTGACCCTGGCTTTAACATTCACCAACAATTTCTGTAATAGAGATAGGAAAAGTCCCCCCACCAATCACAGGGGAGCAAGACTGGATAGGAGCCAGATGGTGCTGTTATGTTAGAACAGGCAATAAGCCTTAGCCATAATGGCTTTGGTAAACTGGAAAAGAACCTACAAGAATGGAATTCCTCAGGGGAAATGAAAAGTCTTGTGCTTCTTGGAGAAAAATAAAATGTACCTGCAGCTATTTTCACTTCATTCCCAAAACCTGTTCCAAGTGCTTTCCCCGTGCTAGGATCTAAGCTGGGCATGAGGGAAACAAGTTCTGACTTACTGCCTCACTAGACAAAGGAACCAGCAGATTCATGATGGGATTATGCCCCAGAAACTATGGAACATTCCAGAGGCTACAGTACAAGGAACCTGAGTCTCAGAGTTGCTGGTGACCATTCTCTAGGGAACTGTTATATCCATACTATGAATCAGACTTCAACTAGGGCACAATTTGAATAAGGGAGAGAAGTTACTGGAAGACAGGGCAGTAAATACTGGTCAAGTTGTCAGACAACTTAGCACGTTCAGAATCAGCACTCCAGCTCAGCAGGGAAGAACCAAGAGTGCTCAGGGTGCTCGTACCACTCCTCTGCTGGTGACTCCCCAGTAGAGTTTCTGCTCCTTGATGTCAAGGGTGATAACCTCCAGGTGTTCAAGGTTCCCAGTGAAGAGAATTTTTAAAGATGTACCATCCATGTTAGCACTTGCAATCTTGGCAGGAACCCCACTGTCCGTTCCTTGATCTGACCAGTACAGTTTCCTACAACCGTGAAAAACACCAGCATTTAACAACAGGTAGATATGAGGGTGAATGGCATATATAACTTAAATATTTCATGAAAAATGTTTCTTTAGTTTTTAATTTAAAATATGTTTTATTTTTAAATTTGTTATAGATGACAGCAGAATGCATTACAATTCATATTACACATATAGAGCACAATTTTTCATACCTCTGATTGTATAAAAAGTAGTCACACCATTCGTGTCTTCATACATGTACTTAGGGTAATGATGTTCATCTCTTTCCTACCTCCGTGTCCCCTCGTTTCTCCTCCCTCCACGTTGCCCTATCTAGAGTTCATCTCATCCCCCCATGCCCCACCCTAACCCCATTATGAATCAGCTTCCTTAAATCAGAGAAGTCATTCAGCATTTGGTTTTTGGGACTGGCTAACTTCACTTAGCATTATATTCTCCAACTCCATCCATTTGCCTGCAAATGCCATGATTTTATTCTCTTATAGTGCTGAATAATGATAATATTCCGTTTTGTATATATACCACATTCTTTATCCATTCRTCTATTGAAGGGCATCTAGGTTGCTTCCACAGTTTAGCTATTATGAATTGTGCTGCTGTTAACATTGATGTGGCTGTGTCCCCTGTAGTATGCTGTTTTTAAGTCCTGTTTCTTGTTCTCAAGGTGCTTACAGTCCAATGGAGGAATCTGAAACATCAGTGTCTTGTATACAATATGTTATGAGCACTTAACCAGTGTTCTATCAATGTCTACATAATTCCCTAGTTAATTTGGGGGTGTGGGCAGAGGCTTTAAAATTGGTATCCAAAACAGGAGGCTAGGATTTTCCATTGGTGGCTAAACTTTAGCTTGTATGACAGGTGGGAAGCTGATGACAACAGACTACATCAATTGCCAATCCCTCTTCAGAGAATCACATAAAACCCAGTACACTGGGAAGGCCAAAGTCTGTATAAAAAATTGCCAAGTATATCCCTGCTCACTAATCAAATCTCAATTCTCTTCCACATCACCATCTACCACAAGACCAGCTACTATCTTGATCTGATCTCTATTATGAAAAATGATAAGCTTTGCAGGGTGCAGTGGCACATGCCTATCATCCAGCAGGTGGGGAGGCTGAGGCAGTTCAAAGCCAGCCTCAGCAACTTAGTGAGATCCTGTCTCTAAATAAAATTTTAAAAAGGATTGGGAATGTGGCTCAATGGTTAAGTGTCCCTAGATTCAATCTCCAGTACCCACCCCCCCCATCCCCCCCTGCAAAAGAAAAGTTTTAAAATTCAATGCAAAATACAAGAGAATGCATAAAACATTCCTGGGAAAGTAGAATACCATTAGCATGCTCACATCAGGGAGTAACTATGACTTTCTTCTCTTCGTATATCACAGTGAAACCAATGAACTATATCCGCTATGTTCACATACAGCATTACCACATCTGAGATATATGAAAATTCATTACAATATTCGAAGGGCTGCTTTCCATTTTCACTGACAACATGATTTTTTTTAAATCCAAGTTTTAATCCTCTTTTTACCTCATCTCCTGCTACAGCCTCAAGATGTAATCTTTCTACACCTTTTCTCAAAGTACTCAAGGCCTTTAATGCAAATAGTCTTTTTTCATATATCCACCATCCAATCAATAGACTCATCTCATTGACTTCTCTTCAGCTCTAGGTTTCTCTGCCTCTAAGTTCACAAACTTGAAATTATCTGCTTTGAATAAAATCTTCCATGCTCCAATTTTACTTTTCCTGTTAAACTTGTTCTTTGACCTTAAACTGCCTGAATTCCCAACTCTTCTGTCYTTCTGCATCCAGACCTCATTGTAGCCATTTTGATATTATTCTTATTTATCTCTTGAACTCACGTTGTTTCTATCTTGCTAATTTCTAACTCCTAGTTCCTAGTTCCTGTTTTTCCCTCTCCTCCCCCATTTTTCCCTATGTTTGCTAAACAAAGCACAAAGTAGAGTAGTAGAATGARGATTCTCTTTATGTCAAGTTCCCCATACTGTCCCTAACAAGTCATTTCTATTCTTCATAAATTCCTGTTTCCTTCCCCCTTAACTTTCACTCTCAATTATGTCTTAATCAGTGAATTTTTGTCTATTCCCACAAATATGCTCAGGCTCCCCTAGTCTAAAAACAAGTTTCCTGTTATATCTGAACTACAAGTTTATCTTTCCCTAATTCTTCAATACAACACTCATAAGAGAGTAGTCTAACCTTTTTACCCTTTCTATCTTGATTGAACTTCCTCTCCCAGATGTCACCAGGGACTCTATAATTGCCTCAACCATTTATTAGTGATYATCCACAGTGATATTTTTCTGTAGCAAAAGATTAACGACACTGACCATAACTTTCTCAAGGCTGTTTCTTTACTGAGCATCCAAAACACAGACACAAGTCTCTGACCTGTTTCTCTTCCCACTTCTGAAGAATCTAAGCCTTTCTAATTGCTTCCCAACCCAACTGCTGTTCTATGCTACTTGAACATGATCTCGCTTTTCTATCCCTTTGCTCTTGACTTTAATCCCTTCCATCATGGGTGATTCCTCCAAAGCCAACTCTGCCTATTAAATCCTATGGCTGCTTTAAGACCCAGGCCAAATGACCTGGATTATTGATATTTATACACAGGTTTTATCCTTCTTTTTAAGCTATAAATTCTTGACATTGCAGATTATGACTTTATTCATCCTTGAGTCTGCTCCCATGTCAGAGACTGCTTCTGCTCGCTAAAATCAATGTCTTCCTTAACTTTCTGGATAAAAAGCTAGACTCATTTCCTTCCTAGCAGGCAGCTATGGTCCAGTGACTGAATCCTAGTTGAAGGAATGTGAGCTGAGTGATGTTCACTATTTGTAGGTCTGGCCCATAAGAACCTCCCAGCACATTCCTGAATGTTCCTTTCTTTACTACTCCGAAGATATTGACACTCAAAATGACCTTGGAAACCTCCTCCTGAAGACAGCAAAGCCCCCATCAGCCGGGTCCCTGAATGACTATACAGAATAACTTCCTCCCATCCTCTGCCCAAGCTCTGGTGCCCACATGGAAAACCAATGAATTATTTCCTCTGAACYATTACATATTTTGGCACTTATGTGCTTCCACAGTTAGCCTGTCTTAACTAATACACTACCTGGCAATAGGTGTACAATACATAAATTTCACATGAATAAAAAAATGAATAATTGGACTCAGGTTTCAAGAATGGAACTTCAAATCAAGGAGGTCCTTCTTCTAGGAAGGATAACTGAAAACTAGGACCAGCCAGAAAGCACAGAATGAAATTTTTACTTTGATGGATTGAATTTAGTTAGTATGTCATCCTTATTTGAGCACTAATACAAACTACTCCTTCAGTTCCCTTCMAGGGCTAAGAATCTGATGACCTCCAAATAGAAAGTCCAAAATCCACTTGGAATGAAATGACTACTTCTTTAAAAACAAAAAATGAATGCTCATRCTCTACAACTTGTTATTTCTGGTTTATAATACAAAAAAATGAAGAAACAAAATTAATAACTGATTAAACTGACTGGCAGACTAGTCTATATCCAATAAGACCTGTTCTTCTAGAGTCCCTGTGGCCAGCCTCTCTCCACCCCAGTCCCGACCAATCTTTCTACCACACAGATTCAATCCTTTCACTGCCTCAAAATTCTCTACTGTCTCTACTTACTTAAAAGAATAAAATCCAATCCACAGCATAACATTAAAGCCCCCCCCCACAATTTGTCTCCAAATGACCTTAGCRGCTGTATCACCATTGTGGTCAACTGCCCCCTACACTTAAGCTTCTGGTTCAGCCCCTCCCACAATCATGCTAAATCCCATCATGCTCCTTTGCCTTGCCCACCCTCTGGCCTCACCTACCACTCCCCAGATGCAACCCACTCTCCACCTACAGGAAGCCTCTCATCCTTCAAGGTCTGCTGCCAATGACCTTAGTTCCCTTAGAGCTTTCAGTGTTCATTCAAAGTCAGAATGCATTGTAAGTCTTATAATTCTACTTTTCAATTCCTAAAGTTCTTGATTTGGAATTAACTTTCAGTCCAGTGTTATTAATTTGAAGAACACAGAACAAAGTATAAATTATATTCTTCACATTAAATACAGCTCAAAGCTATTTCTCRTCCTCACTGAGGTCTATAGTTTTCAAATGTTGACATAGGAAATCAGAAAATGCCCTAAGGAACATGTTGTTATKAACATGTGTGCCACTCACCCACGGGCAGGATCAACAGTTATGCCTATTGGAACACCTACTCCAAGAGCTGTGCCATCATTGGTGATCAGTGTTTTTCTGTATCTGGTGTTTCCCCGGAGTGTCAACACCTAAAGAACAAAGTCACTTATTAGAACTGAATTTCATTCTGGAAAACAAACACAGTTGAAATGAAGAACTTACACAAGAAATGCTAAAGCGTGATTAGGGATGAATGAGAAACAATTGCTAAAGATTAGGGTGATCTCTAATCACATTTGAGGGCTTCAATAAATCAGTCCAATAGGAAATTAAGAGTTTCTCACCATCGCTAGCAGTCAGAGAAATGCAAATCAAAACYACCCTAAGATACCATCTCACTCCAGTAATATTGGCAGCCATTATGAAGTCAAACAACAACAAGTGCTGGCGAGGATGTGGGGAAAAGGGTACACTTGTWCATTGYTGGTGGGACTGCAAATTGGTGCRGCCAATTTGGAAAGCAGTATGGAGATTTCTTGGAAAGCTGGGAATGGAACCACCATTTGACCCAGCTATTCCCCTTCTCGGTCTATTCCCTAAAGACCTAAAAAGAACATGCTACAGGGACACTGCTACATCGATGCTCATAGCAGCACAATTCACAATAGCAAGACTGTGGAACCAACCTAGATGCCCTTCAATAGACGAATGGATTAAAAAAATGTGGCATTTATACACAATGGAGTATTACTCTGCATTAAAAAATGACAAAATTGTAGAATTTGGAGGGAAATGGATGGCATTAGAGCAGATTATGCTAAGTGAAGCCAGCCCATCCCTAAAAAACAAATGCCAAATGTCTTCTTTGATATAAGGAGAGTAACTAAGAACAGAGTAGGGACAAAGAGCATGAGAAGAAGATTAACATTAAACAGGGATGAGGGTGGGAGGGAAAGGGAGAGAGAAGGGAAATTGCATGGAAATGGAAGGAGACCCTCAGGGTTATACAAAAGTACATACAAGAGGAAGTGAAGGGAAAGGGAAAAATAATACAAGGAGGAGAAATGAATTACAGTAGATGGGGTAGAGAGAGAAGAGGGGAGGGAAGGGGAGGGGAGCAGGGATAGTAGAGGATAGGAAAGGCAGCAGAATACAACAAACACTAGTATGGCAATATGTAAATCAATGGAAATTTAACTGATGTGATTCTGCAATCTGTATACGGGGTAAAAATGGGAGTTCATAACCCACTTGAATCAAAGTGTGAAATATGATATATCAAGAACTATGTAATGTTTTGAACAACCAACCATAAAAAAAATTTAAAAAAAGAGTTTCAAGAAAGGCAAAATCACCTTCCAAATTCTTATTTTCAATGCACCCAAAATTTTAGGAGAAGGAACTAAGATGGATGAGAGAGATTCAAATGGATAAACATACAGAACCACTGCCTAGAGAGATTGCAGAATGCCTTCAGAAGCAGCGGAGAGAATTCCCTAGAAGACATAGGAGCCTCACAGCTTCCTGTGCCCCAGTGACAGAGCCATGGCACTAAGGGGMCCATGACTGCAAACAGTTGCTCAAAGCAGTCCAAATCCACTCAGAGTTCAGAGAATTCTGTTTCAAATCAATAGCCTGAGTTAAAACACAAATCTTTGCCCTGCCAGGTCCTGACCAAATGACCTGAGGCAAGAAATCCACCTCTGAATATAGTTCCTTCACCAGTAAAATGTGGGTTTTAACAGCAACWTCAGGCTAGAATTCACAGGACTGAAAGATAATATAGGGAAAGCACTCAGACCAGTGCACAGCATGACTGTGTTTAATACATGTCTCCTATTTTTTATTGGTCCATTCATGGGTCACTTGCTATGTGCTAGGCATTATTAATTACATATTCCCATCCTCACAAATAAGTTTGTGAGAGAGATACTACTATTATTATGCTCATATTATGGATGATGAGAAAGAGAACTGCAGAATGAAATTGACCAATTGTGCTATGTACATGAATGAATTCCATCTTTATGGCTATCTATAAAGCACCAATTAAAAATCAATCAATAAATAGAAAAAAGACTAGTAGAGTAGAGGAAGGGGAGCAGGGAGAGGGAGGAGGGGAGGGAAAGAGGAAGTACTGGGGTCTGAAATGGAACAAATTATACTCCATGCATGTCTGMGTAAATCAAAACGAACCTCATGACTATGTATAATTACAATCACTAATAAAAACAGTTGTTAAAAGGAGGCCTAGGGAGGTTTAGTGGCTTTCCCAAAGCCACCATTTTAGTTATTATTGTTGTAATCACAATGTTAACAAGACATGCTAGAAACCTGGATTATCAGACTAGCAGCATGTTTCTTAGGGGAATGCAGCTATTTTAATATGCATCTGAGACGGTTGGAGAGACACCTAGTAAGGAATTAGAAAATGCCTGTTGACTTGCATCAGGGCTTTCTACAAAACTGCCTTGAAGTACAAATAGATTATTTGTATGTCTGCTTCTCTCCCTCCCCTCTCCCCCACCACACACACACACACTCACACACACACACACACACACACACACACACACACACACACCCTCTTCTCTCCCTTATTTTCTCTCAGTTTCTCTCTCTCTCCTATCTCATGTCTTTTGCTCCCGCTTGGACTAAGATAATTTTCCTCTTTCCAGTCTGCCTCTCTCTCCTTTTCCTAGGCCTAAGGATCTCTTTGGTTCAAAATCAAGTTCCTCTCTGTTTTGCAGACTGCATCTCTCACCGCCATTCTGAGGGCTTCACTTTTCAGCTAAAAGCTCTTCAGTCCTTTAGTGCATAGACACACAGCTACCCCTAGTGGAGAACAATTTCTTCAACCTTTCTTTTCTATTGTCAAGCTGGAATTAAATGGCAATTACCAACGCTGAAAGAGCATACAAATAATAAGTGAACACTAGTCCAGTTTTCTTAACTAATATAACATTCACCTGAAAGAATTGTTTAAATTTATATCACTTAAGAAAAAATACAATAAAAACATTAAAAGGGCCATTTTCCCTTGGATCTTTATTCTCTTTTGGACCTTCTAAATACATTGATAATTTGAGGGAAATGGCACTCTGTATTCACAAAATGCCATAAAATACTTTTACTTATGGAGCCATTACCTGATTTCACAGATAAGGAAATGGAGGCACAAAGAAGTAATGTGTCCAAGGCCAAACAGCTCACAAACAGCAATTGTTTCTCATTCATCCCTAATCACAGAGCTATCCCCAAGTCATAAAAATGCATTTTCATATTTCAGGGTCTTCATTTAAGTGTTTATCTCTGACTGGGATGCCTCTTCCCTACTTTTTCATTGGAAGAAACAAGTATTGGTCATTCTTCAAGGCTCATCTCACAAGTCACCACTAACAGAAAGCCAACTCCTCTTTCCCTTCATTTCTACCTCTGACCTGAGACCTGGCACTTTATATTCACTGCTTTATCACACTGAAGCAAAGTTATTTGTTTATGTGTCTCTCAAATGGGTTAGAAAAAATACTTTATTCACTTTTGATCACTCAGGACACACCATGGGACTAACCCATAGAAAACATTTGCTAGTGATTGTTGAATGAGTGACCGATAGGAGTTGGCAGGATGGACTCAAGAGTAAGGTCTCTGGACTCCAAATCTGAAAGTCTTTCCCTGGGCTACAAGGCACTGGGGCACTATTACAAACTTTAGGTTTATGTGGCTGAAGTGGCCTTAACAAGACACACACAACACACTCAGTTATTCTCCAGTGGACAGCCTTTTCATTATACCTAACTAATGGAGAAGACTTGTTCCCTGCTTTGGAAGAACTTCCAGGTTAAAAGACAAGAACCCCATTTATGACATGGTGGCACACACCTATAATCCCAGTGGCTCAGGGGGCTGAGACAGGAGGATCACGAGTTCAAAGCCAGCCTCAGCAACAGTGAGGCACTAAGTAACTCAGTGAGACCCTGTCTCTAAGTAAAATACAAAAATGGAGCTGGGGATGTGGCTCAGTGTGGAGTGCCCCTGAGTTCAATCCCAAGCACACACACACACACACACACACACACACACACACACACACAAAAAAAAAAAAACATTTACCAAGTAAGGAACTGAGAGACACAAAAAGAGCATAATAATTGTCATTTGGGATTAAGACAGCTTTGCACCGATTGGCCTCCAGGGAAATATGAGTTTTTATTGAGGGTCATAGGCAGTCCATTTTACTCCTGTTTAAATGAGAGGATGATCGTTTTTAGTTGAGATTGTAAAAAAACACTTTCTGCCACTGTCAAAGGGCATTAGAAAGGCCTGGATTTCTGGAGCTGTGGCTTGTAAGAATGCAAAGGCAGACGGCCACCCAGCATCCAGAAGCTGACCATCCAAGGCAACTTTTCCACTTTTGTGAACCTCAGTTTTTTGTGTAAAAAACAAAAGGCTTGAACTAGAGAGTCTCCAGGGGCATTTCGTGTTAWGTGAACAGCTGCATGTCCACCTGCCCTTGGGCATGCCATGAGGAGTAAATGAGATGGGAAAGACTTTGTGAACTAGGAAGCACTGTTCCAGCTTGAGCCCCACCTGGCCAATCTATTCTAATTTGTTACCAGGCTGCTGTGCACTTTCCAGCATCTATCTCCAAAGAGCAGCCCCCTTACCAGCTGGTACCCACCCAGAGCAGTGAATGGTCACTCTGCAGGACCCTGCTAAACTCAGAAAACCCTCCCTCTGCCTTACRAAGTTTCACTTTCAAAATTATCATGAATTAATAATCCTGTACAGGTTGTGTCCTTGTCCTGCAGCACAGACACATAATATCAGTCAAGTTACCTTGGATTTAACTTACTTCATGTGATTTCAAACTTGCAACCTATCTAAAATTTCTTCTGGGAATTGGAGTAAAAAGAACACTTATTTCAAAGAAGACAGTATCAAAGGAATTAGAATCAAGTTTCTACTTTCTGTTTCACTGCTAGGAAAACTGTATTGGAGYGAAAGAGAGATCCCCATCTAAGAATAGTGGCAACTTATAAATTCAGTTAAGAACTCAAATAGCATTAAAGATTAGATGACAAAAAAAAAGCGAAATTTTCCTTCCTACCCTAATCTTCTCTTTTTGCTAAATTTCTTATTCAATTTTCATTTATCTTCTTACATATTATTTTTACAAATTACCTAATATCCTTTCATAGGAACACGGTAGTATAGTTCCAATAACTTATTTTTAAGGTAGTTTTCCTCCTTGGTTTCAGAGAGTTTGATGTTTAGTAACAATACTTCTCTGTGTTTGCTTCTTATTTGGGGCGGGGGGGAGAGTTGGGAGAAGGGTACCAGGGATTGAACCCATAGGCACTCGGCCACTGAGCCACATACCCATCCCTTTTTTGTATTTTATTTAGAGACAGGGTCTCACTGAGTTACTTAGTGCCTTGCTTTTTGCTGAGACTGGCTTTGAACTCGTGATCCTCCTGTCTCAACCTCCTGAGCCACGGGGATGACAGGCAGGCACCACCGCGCCCGGCTCCTGTTTGTTTCTTGTTTACAAATAATTTCAAAATTCATGTGAGACCATTTCTGAGAATCAATTGGACATGGATTCAAAACCTATTATTATGGAACCATTACCTCGATGGACTGACTTCCAGGAGTTGTGTAATAAATATTTCTGGATAACCAATCTAAGGCCAAGCTCATCGAGTCCCCCAGCTGAGACAGAGGAGAGAACAGCGTCCTATTGGTGCCATCTGTCTTCACTCTGTGAATTTCACCCTGGGAAGAAAGACAACAGAGGTGAGCTGTATGCAGGCCACATCAGGAGCTTTCCCCTACAGGTTGGCTGTTGGGTTTCTTTAACTTTCCTCACATGGTGGGGGCAAAGGCTCAGGGCTCGCTGTGGGTCCTGCTAATGCCAGCAACCTTTCAAAGACACTGATATTTTCAGTGTGTCACAAGAATACACAGGCTTACCATTCAGCTTACCTCAGGTAAGGGCCACAGAGATATATCTTAGTGACTACAGGTATAAAAGTCATAAAATAACTCAAGTCTCAGATGTGGACCAGAAGCCACGAACATATTTGACATCAAACACAGTGATCTTCCTCCCCTCCTCCTTTCTATTCTCCTTGTCCTTTCCCCATTCTTGCAGGTTGCTTTCATGAGGAAACGGAACCAAGCAGAAGGGTAGTGGAGCTTGCATTCTTACCCTGGGGCAAAGATCCTGATCAAAGGCTCCTGCAACCCCATCAAGAGCTTTGCTGGAATTCCCTTAGGAAACTACTGCTTTTGTCTTGAGTTATGATCATTTTTATATTAATCTCATCTACAAGCTCAAAGCCCCTCTAGGGCAAGCTTTGTGACTATGGTTTGCCAGCAGGTGCTCTACAGTTAGGTCATTCAGTGTCAGGCAAGTGGTAAACACTTAGTAAATGTTTGCTGAATCAATAAATAATACCCCTAAGCTTCTATTTGCTTAGTACTTTAAAGCTAAAGAGTTTTTTTTTTTATCTTTACTCCAAACCAAGTTCACATTAAGATGCATCCCTAAATAAAAAAAAAAAAATTAGTGACAAATTAATTTCTGGACCATTTCCTTTTTATCCATCCAACAGAAGTCTGTCTATAARAAGGCATCAGCATCGTTGGACTCTTCCAGATGAAGTTACAGACTTGAAATGTTAATCAAAACTTACTGGATTCTCAACCCAATAGATGAATTGTTCTGAGTCATCAAATTCAACTTCAAAACCATTGTGTATGCCGGCTATGGGCACCATAGCATCATTGCTCTTCACCTCAGGATTAAGGGAAATGCCAAAAATCACATGGTTTCTTACAGTTATCAAGAAAGGTTGGTCATCTGTGAAAAGAACAGGATATCTGTCAAAATTATATTAAACAATTCCCAGACCTTCACCTTACTCTTCATTAATTCCTCACTCACACTGTTGAGCCATCAGTGTTGGATAAACATCACAGTTAGAAAGTTCTTCCCTTCCGACACACAAACAAACCTCACTAGTTCCAGAAACTCAGGCAAAGGGGAGTTGGGCTTGGAAAAAGAAAAAGGAAATAATGCRAAAGGGAACATTGGTAAATGGCAGCTTACCAGCTTCAAGCATGTTCAAAAAATAAAATATTACGAAATGTCACCTAGGACTCRTTACTCTAATAAATAAATTTATAATCTCATCCGAGTTGACTACTATCTGCCTTCCTCACTAGATTCCCACTGCCAAAGAGTGATTATGTTTCATTTTTTTCACTGTTGTGTACCCAGAACCTGGCATACAATAGTTGCCCAATAAATATCTGCAGTAAATATTTATGGTCAGGAATGACCACATAACTGAATAAATGTATGAAYGAATATGCAAATAGTGTCTTTGAAAGTTCTCAAAAATGCAAATATCTCCATAAYATTTGAATTAAACCATTAGTCACTTAGGCTCTTGAACAGATAGTAAAAATTCATTTTTTAAAAATAATTTAATACTTATACTGGTTATTGCTCCATCATCAAATAATCAATATTAATAAAATTCAAGAATTCCTCTCTCAGAAAAGGAGAAACTTTTAGAACATAAGTTTCTAAAAGCATAAGATGTTTCACATATTAAGAGAAAGTATAAAATGATTAATCATTGCATAACTCTCAAGAGCTAAAAATGATATTTTCATTATTTTGATCATCCAGGAAGCTTTTCATGATCAGCAGGATTTTCTTGACACTTTTTCTTAATTTATTTTTGACAGTTCATTAACTTTTCCTTGTTCTTACCATTTTTATTACTGGGAAATAACTCTTCATTTACTAACCTAGTACAAATTTAAATTTGATTTAATGTAAATCATGCAACTGTTAATGCTTCACTTTTATAAACATCTAGTGTTTAGTACAACAACATCTAGTGTTTAGTCTTTTACAACAAGCTTGCAAAGTTGTGTTCAGCTGAGGCAAATGAAACTTGCAGGAACTATGTCACTGCTGCAGGGAACAATGTAATAAAAGATGGGCCATTAACACCCAAACCCTTGTCTCCACTGCTCCACATTCCACATCAGTCATTGCTTCTGAACAACTGCAATTGCCAAAATACACCCCCCAATATGTTGAGATGGGGCACATTATATGTGTCACACAGCATGCATCAGGTAAATATAATTTCACTTAATTTATCTCCCTGAAGCCTCATAATTCTGTGTTACAGTTATCTCCCCCAGCTTGCAAATGAAGATCAAAAAAATTAAGCTATTTAGCCAAGGTCACAGACCAAAAATATATCTTCTCCATCACTAGATCACTATACTGCAAAAAGGCCAGGTACTAAATATTGACTATCAAATGACCACTCATTTAGTTTAACTGTAATAATGAAAAATGAGGGTTATAAAAGTTTCAGACATACCTTGAAATTATGAGATACTATTCAATGATTTATTGATTACATATTATAAATGCTCATTTGTTCAGTAAGAAAAAAACATTTCTTAATTTGTAAAATTAAGAAATAGTAAAATTTTAAACTTCACCCATTCAAAACCTGATCCTGTTTTTTGTTTATTTGGTTTTTTGTTGTTTTTTTTTGTTTTGTTTTTTTGATGGGTAATCTTCCTCTTACTTAACTAGAGTAATCCTCAACCAAAGCCTGATTCAAAGCCTGGAAGACTGGGGTTCTCATTCATCAAATGTATTCCTTCCTGACTCTTCCCTTGAGCYTCACCCAGTTCTAGTCCTTCCTCACCCATTACTTCTTCCTGGGGATCTTGCCAGGTTCTTTATGTGATTGCTGCTGGTGTATCTGAGATTTACCACCAATGAACACTGTGAGCAGAAAAACCACAGTGTTCAAAAGYCAGGGTGAGGAAAGGTGCCAGAGCAGCACCTGAGAAGAAGCCACCAGTGAGGCACAGATGGCATGGACAGGAGGGGGCACATGAAAAGTGTTCAGTGGAAAAGAAAAAAGAAGTGACACTATACAGCTACCTAAGGGGCAAATGGGTGAAAAACAGAATATTCAACATATGCCACAAAGTACCATCAGCAATGGGCAGACATGCACAAATCAGCCAAAGGCTTGACCCTCAAGAATTTAGCACCTAGCGTTCAAGACTAGGCCCGTRGGTCCTGATAGCTTCCTATGATATGGAAGGAGCAGGCACAGAGGATAGACAGTAGAGGGCTCAGGAAAGGTGAGAGCTAAGCTGTCCTCAGTCACAGGTCTCAAGTCTTCTGAAATTGAAGATCATCTGCTCCTGTCTATTTTTCATATCATGATCCCTTTATGGTTAGTGACGGCAGAGGAGTGAAGGGACCATAGTCAGAATGGAAGTTAATGGTGACATTAAATGGTGACGTTTGTGATCCTCAAATAAACGTCCTCCTTTAGTCACAAACTGATGGGCCCTGCAGCCTCTCCTGGAGTAGAAGGAGTGTRTTCTTCTCATTTTGCACAGAATACTAAAGCAAGTGCCCTGGGCCTCTCAGACTGAATGGAGATGAGGATATTAAGGGTTTCTGGACTGAGTTTTATTTTATTTAGTTTGGGCATTGTGGAGAACATATTTTCTAAATAAAAAGAATAAAAATTTAAAATTTATGACACTTCTCATTTTAAAATTAAATAATACAAAATTTGGGGGGAAAAAAAAAGAAATCTCTCAGAATCCCCCATCTAACTGTAACCACTATTGGTGTTTATATATGTTTTCTTCCAGATATTTTAATGCATGTTTTTAAAAGGTGATCTTAGACAATATCAGTGTTTTCTTGTAAGAGTACCACTCAAGCACTTCCAAAGATATTCCAGACAATCAACACTACTTAAGACTATAGAATAATTAAATCAAGTAAAATGTTTTCATCTACATATGTTAAATCTTCTAAACATCTTACTTAGCATATGTTGACAGTCAAGTTCCCCAACTCGAGCTCAGAAACCAAGTGTGAAGTATGAGAAAGTTCCACATCAGCAAAGTCCACCCACGGGAACAACACGAGTGGAGCCATTTGTGAAACAACAAGAGGCACTATTTAGAATTAACATTTATCAATCACCATGAGGTCGTAATATTGATTACACCAATCCCCAATGCACAGTTAAAAACCTTTATGTAGTGAAAGAATGCTTTGTATCCAAAATGTCTATAGCCCAGATTAATCTTCTCCTGAAAGACTCTGAGGACACACTAAATTAAACAATGTCAACAAGGATTAGGAGCATAATAAGTCTCTGTAGAAAAATGGTAAATGCCAGTCCCTTTTGTAAGCATTACCAATAATTAAAAATCTTTCATCATGAAGGTATCATTGTACAATATCACATACTGATGGAATTTGATTTTCAGTAAGCCCATGGACCTACCTGCACAGTCTATAAACACTATAAATTTCCTGGACACAATATAAATTTTCCATTTGAAATCTGAATTTTACTCTAGATTCTGATTCTGTTATCTCTTCATTTAGGAGTAGGTTATCATTAACATTTTATTTGTATTTGTCTCTAGCTATTTTTATCAGTATCAAAACACATTTACTCCTCTTTACTCAGAAATGAAAAGGAACAAGTTTAAAATAACTTTTCATATTTTTAAGCAATGGAGAATAATCTTTTAAAGAGTTTATAATACACAAGTATATTATCCTGAAGAAATCTCTTTTCTTTCTTTTGTATTCCCTAAAGTACTTAAATAACCCTCCACATACTCTTCAATCAACCCAGTAAAATAACACTACGATGAAATGAAGATTAAATTGCTCCAACAATCACTTATAATATTTCACCAAGAGACAGCTGCCATTTTTGAAGAATCAGATAGTACTAAAGGTACTGAAATTGGGGTCAGAAGACCCAGACCACAACATGGACTATTGGTTATAAAATAAAATTGAGACAATGGACCTGAAAATGAAACCAGATACAAATGTCAAGAACTTCCAGTTATCATACTTCATCAGAAAGTCTAACTATAGTCAAGTGTGAGAAAATAGGAGGTTAAAAACTGTTTAATCATATGCATACATAACATTAGTTTCATATACAGAAACTGTATTACAGCGGAGGTGTTCAATGAAATCCCCCCACACAGCACACACTCCGCGGACCCCTGCACTATCAAAGGGAACACGGCACATGCTCAATCCCAAGTGGGCTTGGAGCTTCCAAGGTCTGGCACAAACTGTGACCAGCTCCATCTTCACAGCATAATGAAGGGCATACTGTACCTTTCACACAATTCACAGAATCCCGGGAGAGATTCCACCCCGAAGGACAAGCACAGGAGTAAAACTTAGGCCCCTGTGAGGAAAGCAGGCACAGGTGGCTGCAGGGGGCAGAGGCACACGGATTCACAGCTGTAGGAGAAAAGAGAAGTAGGCATCAGAGAATGGAGTGGCTCCCACATCACAGTGCACAGGGTCCTGCTCTCATTTTCCCCCCAGAGGCTCCCTGCTTGTGGAGACATGAGTACCTCTGCTGTCTTATCTTGTTTGATTTTCTCTAAATGACTTTACCCTTCCTTAACAACTTGCTTTCAACATAAAATTCAGAAGAGGGACAAGAGGGAGGAGGGACTTATCCAAGGTCACAGATGGATAACCGGAATATGAACCAACAGCCACTAAGTCGCCTGAACTTGTAATAGAAATATGATGCTAAATAATATGTGTCCTTGCAGGACCTACAAGAGAACCTTCTGCAGCAAATGAAACCAGACTGTGTGTTTGCTATATGACCTTGACATTTACTTGGGATTTTCCAAGATTGGGTTAGATAATAATCTTTTGGGTTTCTAATGATGACATGTTTTGTCTGAAAAGAGGAACCCTGTGTGTATCCCAAGCTGAAAAGCTGTTTCCTAGATGCTATCTGTTCATGTTAGAATTAGATTATTAATCTAATTCATTCATTCCCCCAAAGAATGCTAAGCATTCACTATATACCAAACACTATTCTCAGCACTGGGACTATTGTAAACATGGAGTATATATTCTACCCAAAAGAGACAGAACTAAACTCATAAATTGCTTGGGGCTAGGGGCTAGAATGTGAAGGTAATGAGCAAAAGAATTATGAGTGGCTATTTTACATAAGGTGATCGAGGATGGCTGCTCTGAGAAAGTTATATTTAAGCAGACTCCTAAATGACATGAAGAAGCAACTCCTGCAGAGACCTGGAAGACAGCAGTTCCAGGCAGAATAAAGAGCAGGTGCAGAAATTCAGAGGCGGGAACTGGCCTGGGGTGCTTCTGAACACACTGTAGTCCAGAGTGGAGAGAGGAAGTGGGCTAAGGGGGCAGGCAAGAGGAGGGGCTGGATTCTGAAGTGAGATGAGAAGCCACAAGAAGGCTTCAAGGATACAGTATGTTTGATTGACTTATTTCCCCTTCCCTCCAGAAAGAACCCTGCCAAGGCCAAATGTTGAAATCACCCAGCCACCATCACCACTTGCTTGAGAGTGGCTTGGGGTAGCCACAACAGAGCATCAGGGACACATGGGGCCGGAATAAGCAAGTCTTCCCAACAAGCTGCTTTAAAACACTGAGAGTTTCGGATAAGAGGCTTGAGGTGCTGTCTGGTCTCTGTTTGCAATTGTCCAATGAGGACACTGAGTCTCAGAGAAAAGCCAACAGAGGCAGTAGCCGCTTGCAGAAGAAAATGACACAATCCAGATGTGCCCTTTTTCCTGTCAAGGTTTGACTTTCCCAGGGTCAATAAAAGTAAGAGCAATAAAAGGACTGGGGAAAGCATGAAAAGAAAAGGAAAATGTGTCGCCTAAACACGTGAGTCGGCCACAGTCAGCATTCCCAGAAGAAGCGGTTTCCACACACTACTCCCACTTACAATCTGGTTGTTTTGCAGGATGAACCGCGACGATCCCCAGGGGCCGGAAGATATTATACATTATAATTGACTGGTTTCCCCCATGCCATTTGTTGGCCTGAACGACATTGCGAGTAGCACGGTCCGTCCAGTACACGGATTCTTCAAAGAGGGTCAGGGTGTAGGGATGCCGCAGCACCTGAGAAGCAGAACCGGACCATAAGACCTCACTCACCCAGCAACAAAGGCCAACTGAACTATGTAGCAAAGGATGTCTGCTCAGGAAGCCGCTTTCCCTTAGCATTGGAGTGTTCAATAAAGACACAGGAAAGTAATGGCACAAGAGACAAGCAAACAAATACATCACTTGTCCCAAATCCTACTGTACCACTGGAACTATTTCCAGATACATGCGTCTACTCTGATAATGACACTGGGCATCCATTTTAAAAATRAAAACAAAACTGAAACACAGAAAGTAAGGGGCTCTGTCTGGATCACCAACTAGTTACAGGTTAGATGTGACCAGCCAGGGGTTCTCGTCCCCTACCCGACTCTCAGTGCTACTGCCACTCACTGAATCACATCAACCTGTCACAGTAGGGAGGCTTTCCCAGAGCCTCTTCAAGTCCCAGGAACTAGAAACAATGGGAATCTTAAATGAAACATAATCTCAGCTCTTTGGAAAAATACTCCCTTTCTGAATTTCCCCATTTAAATTGTGTAAATAAGTAAATAATAGATTCATATTTTAATTGAGAAATATAAATATAAAATATAAATAAATTTATATATAAATATATATATAAATAAATAAATTTATATATAAATATAGTTAAGGTATTGACTGCTGTTAAACTTAATTTTTAAAAGCAACAGATCAGCATCTATAGGTCAACTAAATCATATGAGCTATTATTAATTCTCCCTGGAGTGTCACAATCTGACAATGAACTGTTTACTTTTCTGTTAGTAATAAGGACGGATTACCCCTTACTGTTGATATTCCCTGCATTGCTGTGGTAATGCCTATAACTCAAAAATTAATTTTAGTTTTCTGGAGTCTGTTTTCTACCTAGCTGCTATCATAGTTTTAATTTGGTTTTCCTCACTATCAACTTACCAAATCACTGGCTACCACCTGCCTCCGATTTTGCCCATTATAATCACAAAAGTCTATGTAATCAAGATAGGCATCCATGAAGTAGAGCAGTCTGTTGGGGTAGTCAATAGTTAAGCCACAGGGCCAGTAAATCTTGTCCTGGACAATGACCGTGCGCAAGCTGCCGTCCATGCTAGCACGCTCGATGCGAGGGTGATGGCCCCAGTCGGACCAGAACATTAGATGGTCACTGTGAAAAGAAACTAGTTACCTATTAGAAGGCACATATTTCAACATGAAAAATAACTCATTTAAAATTACACAGCATCCTGCTCACGCCCTGCTTAAAATAAATCATCTCTAGTTCAGAATGCATGCGCAGAGTTTATTATTTCCTCTGAGTGTCACAAAGTAAAACTGTAATCATAATGTAATCACAAGCCATCTGGGTGTTTTTATAATGTTCATAAACCATGCCGTACATCATGACACGGAAATGTCTCAATGCCAAATCATGTTTGTGTACAATCCATAAATAGTTGGTCTAGAAAAATCCATCTGTCCTTGTTTGTCTACCCTGTCGTGTTTTAGATAAGAGAATCAATTTATTCCTCTTCAGAGATGTGTCACAAATTTTACTGGTGTGTAATACTTTGTAATATATAGGAAGCCAGCATCACATTGAACACGAATTGCCTAATTCACCATCCTGCAGATAGGAATCTATAGAATCTAAGTAAATTCAAGGAAAGAAGCTTCAAAGATTTCTAAACACATGGGCAAATTTCTTTCTTCCTTTTATAACCAGCAGGCAAAATTTTTCTTTTTTATACAATTTAAAATGTTGTTCTAGTAAATAACATGAGACTCAAGCAGGAAAATTTGGCTTTCTTCTTTTGTGACCATAAGGTATCAAAGTCACAGCTAAGTGACCCATCTATGGAATATTATAGCATGTGTTTGTTAGAAACTTAATTATATATTTATACAACAATCATTTCAACCATTGCACTGTCAAGCTCATAAGTCAGTGCCATCTTAAAGTGAACAACCAATTGCTCATATGTACTTTATGAGGAAGACTACTCAGATGAAAGAGTTGGTAATAACCAGTTGATGCCTACCATGCTAAAACAAGGGAGAATTTAATTCTGTGTTATGCATATCAGCTACATCATGTTATCATTTCTGTCATTATATTCATGTAAAGAAAATATATATATATATATTTTAAGTCTTACTTCATTCTGGGGTCTAATGCAAGTCCCCTTGGATTTGTTACATTTTTGCTGATCAGTACCATCCTGTGGCTCCCATCAATTTTAGAGACTTCAATGGTTTCTAGAGCATAGTCTGTCCAGTAAAGATTCCGACCTATCCAATCTACCGCAATAGACTCAGTCATGCTGACGCCGCTGTTGTGCACCTAAAGACAAGTGAGTAAAGGAAATGTGTTAAAGAAAATGAACGCAAACACGTATGCTATACATGAAAATCTAGAATAAAGTATCTAATTTCTGCTACAGTGGCTTGATGGGCTTAGAAAAGTTTGGTCTTCCCATTAACTAAGCAGGAAATCAATATTGCAAAAATATACAAGATTTCATAATTCTGAATATTCTAAGATAATCCTATTATGGAATTAGTGGGTAGTTTCATTCTGACTTCAAAATGGTTTTGCATTTACACAAAAGCTCTACCTATTTGCTAACTTGGCAACTTTATTAAACTTTATAATGTTTGGAGCTGGGGTTGTAGCTCAGTGGTGGAGCGCTTACCTCACACATGTGAGGCACTGGGTTCGACCCTCAGTACCACATAAAAATAAAATAAAATAAAATAAAATAAAAGCATGTGTCCATCTAAAATTTTTTAAACATATATTCATATGCCAAGAGGAATATCTGCATTAAGTGCCAACATTTACAAAATAAAATTCTGAGGGCCAGAGGAAACAACAATCAAAGGTGGAAAACTGAAACTGTAGGAGATGGATTAATAAAATGGAACTAAAAGAAAGCCAGGAAAAGCAACCCTTTGACTCTCCTGTCCTCTCCTCTACTCTCATCCACAAAAGACTGCAAAAGGGACTCCAGAGTCTCCAGGTAAAGTCTTTGAATCACTGGACCTGGAATTCAGAATCATGGTGGGACCCTCAGACACCACACTCTTACTAAAATACCCACAGATTAGGAGCTAGGAACCTTTAGGCTTCTGAGTGTGATGTGCTTCAGAGGAACTATGAGAATACTCCAGGATTGGAGAGGCAGGGCCTCCTCTCACTAGTGAACAACAAGAAGGAGATTTAAGACGGGAGGACTAGGCAGGCAGAAGGTCCCCACAAATGTACTTACTACTCTCTTGTCTGTTCCATTTTGAAATGCACTCCAGGTTTTGCCCTGACTTGAGTCAGACCAAAAGATACGACCACTGACTGAATCAAAATCAAGAGCTACAATATGAGAACCATCCTGGATCAATGCATAGATATTGTGGAACTGGGAGGTGATATTGTCAGCAATAATTTTGTTCTGACTTGCCACCAGCAACAGCAGACTTTCGGATGCTATCCAATAGAGAAGGGGAAAGGCAAAAATGTCAATGATTCTGGGAGAAAACACAATTAAAGGGTCTCAAAACATTTCATATAATACTTTTGATAACAGAAGGAAGATGTGATTTTGAACTACAGTGATCAGGAGAGAAAAGCCCTGTAAGAATTATTTTAATATTTTTAACCTTAAGAGTTAACTGATTTTCATGAATATTTTAGGCTCTAAAATATCTTTCTTCCTTCAATACTATTTCAACAAGTATCTAAATACCCATCTGGAGTGAACTACACTTACGGTCCTCTTTGCATTGTGTTTATTTTTGTACTTTCTTCTCTGCTTTACTAGGCTGTCAGCTTTTTCACAGCAGGTATCATCTCTTAAACATTTGTGTTTTCCCTGAGGCATTTTGCTGCAGCAGAAGGTTCTAATTGTCTCCCATTATCCCCTCCCCAATTTCACCTCTTTAGTAACAAGACATGCCAAGTTTTAGCTTGGCACGTAGCCACCCAGCTAGACAGAGTCTCTGCCTCCACTGAAATTTGAAGTGACCACATGACTAACTTCTGGCCAACAGGATGTGAGTAGAATGACACAGGCCACAGCCTTAAAAGGAAGCTACTTGCCCTCCACTTTGTTTTCCCCTTTCCTACTTTCTGAGAGAAGGCAAAAGCATTGGATCCTAGACAGAATCCATGCCAGGTGTGGTGGCGCACACCTAGGATCCCAGCGACTCAGGAGGCTGAGGCAGGAAGATCACAGTTCAAAGCAGCCTCAGCAAGTTAGAATAAAAATTAAAAGGGGTTGAGGATGTAGACCATGGTAAAGTAACCTCTGGGTTAAATCCCCAGTGCCAAAAATTAAAAATAAATCCTGGATGAAAGTCACAGAATGAAGATAACAGGCCAGCTCTATTCCCTAGACTGCCTACAGACTCCTATTTATTTGTTTAAAAAAAAAAAACTTTCATTTTGTTTTATAGTTCTTCATTTGGTGACTTTGGAAGCAGCTAAATCAATATTCTAATATACAGTATAGCTACTTTAATCAAATAGAAACTTAATGAGTACTGCTGAATCTATTAAGTCTTATGTAAAGATATATGCATATCATTGGACTAGACAAAGGAAAGGGAAGGGAAGAGAGAGGCAATAGGAGGAAAGAGTAGAATGAACAGGATATAACTTTCCTATGTTCCGATGTGAATACACAACCAGTAAAACCCCACATCACGTACAACCACAAGAATGGTATCTTAATTAAAATAAGTTACACTCTCTGTATGTATAATATGTCAAAATGCAGTCTACTATCATGTATATCTAAAAAGAACAAATTTTTAAAAGATGTTTAAGTATAATTTGTTTTAAAATATGTTTTAAAAATTTATATTTTATAAATAAAATGTTCTACAAATATTTAAATAATAAAAAAGATGATTTTCTACCTACAAATGTTTTAACCTCTATTTTCCAAAATACATTAAGACTTTGAGGTTGAAAGACATTATGCAAATCTTTCCAGGATTCAAGTTGGTCTGACTCCTAATTAACATTATCCAATGATTCTGCACAACACTAGATCATAAGCTCTGGCACGTACAGTTAAACAGAATGGAGTTAGCTCATATATAAGTTCAATGATTACCTGTAACTTTGCAAGTCCTCCCGTCCTCTTCTAACATGTATTCTTTATCACAAGAGCACCGGAAAGAACCTCTCGTATTGTAACAGTGTTGGCTACAAAAGCCTGGAATGTCACATTCATCTATGTCCTCACAGGTTTTACTATCATTGGCAAGTTGGTACCCCAATGGGCAGATGCATTTAGCCCCAAAAGGCCCTTGAATACACTCATGAGTACAACCACCATTGAAATGCGAGCAGGTGTCCTCGTCTGGAATAAAGAAAGAGAATCACAAAGGGAAAAAGTCAGACATCTTTCCTTGATGCTCTCTGATGTAATATTTGCCATCTAGACCCATTCCACCTTCAATGTGATGCCCAGATCAGAGCTAATAACAACATTGACTTGGATGAACTCCACAGGCTATTCAGTGTCTGCTCTGATTTGCCTGAGGATTTACTATCCATTGGACTAGGACCACTTTCTCCACCACCAGCATAACTCCATTTAGTGCAATCAGAGAATCTTGAGGACATATGGTTGTCATTGATAATGCATGCAAAGACACTTCACACTTGCTGCCTCTGAAATTCTTCTATCTATATAGAAATGCAACACAGGACTTAATATTTTAAAAGAAAAGGCTAGAAAATCTACAAACAAATGGAAGGGTAAAGGTAACAGAATATTAGACAGCACAGATCCACTAATACACTGTCATTCCTTACTCTCAGGGCCAAAACAGCAACATTGGAAGCCACCTAAAGACAAGTCACATGCCTAGGGATACAAACCCCCTCTATTTCCATAAAAACTCTAACTTATTTATAAGAGTCATGACATAGAACATGCACTAGCAGGGTTAAGTCACAAAAATTAGAACATTTTCAGCACAAACACAACACATATGAAATCATAAAAATCTAAGATACTTCACAATCATACCTGGCTGCGGTTCATCTGAGAGTGAGCATTGATTAAATAGGAAAGAAAGAAAGGACAGAAATTAGGATCACATGCCAATCACAGCAAACACAAATCGCTGGACTTCATTTGTTTTGTGGCAAGTTCTGATTGAAATTAGAAAATACTGAAGTTAGAAAATTTCATGAGCACATTACCAACAGAATCAAATTTAATTTGACAGTCTAATGGCCTCACTAAGCCTCATTTTTCTAAATGGTGAAATGAAAATAAGGAAAAACACATAGCCAAGTGCAAAGGTTTTAATGAGAAATATTATCCAGTGATGATTTATTTGAATTCAATTATGCTTATCCCTACACAGAGTTGAAGTCATAGAGAAACTAAAAATCCCTTCCTGAAAGCTACACAGGGACTATGACAATGGCAAGGCACACCAGGCTACTGCTCAGAAGGAATTCACGTCCAGTAAACTGTGGTTGGGAAACTTACTGCAAAGTGGGGACTCATCTGTCCCATTGGGGCAGTCAAAGATGTCATCACACAGTGCACTCAGATTCACACAGATGCTATAGCCAGGACACTCCCACTGCCAGCTAGGACAGTGAAAGGCCTCAGCAGGGCAGTCCTTCTCATCACTCATATCCCTGCAGTCATTGTCCCCGTCGCAGACCCACTCTTTGTAAATGCAGTTTCCGTTGTTACAGAGGAAATGAGACGGAGAGCAGGTTTTGGTGACACAGCCTCGGTGCTCATCAGACCCTTGGGTGCAGTCTGGATGCCCATCACACTCCCAGGTGTCTGGAATGCAGGTACCATCTCCTTGGCACTGAAATTCATCTGAGTGGCACATACCAGGAGGCCTGGTTGCTAGGAGAAACACACGGGAGAAAACGAGCTTGTGAATGCAATTTATCACCCTTTCAATAGCCAAGATTCACAGGATGCTGTTTTGGATCAATAGCGGGTAGAATAATAACTATGACACAATTAGTACTAAAAGCTGAAATGCTAGAGGATCTTCTCCCACACTGTGGTACATAAAATATTTCTACGTGTCAGATTAGTGGATATGACAACAAAGTACAGGATGCACAATTTTTGAATAGAAGATGAGTACCTGAATCAAAAGAACATTCTGTTTCCTGCATTTATAATATTCATTCAGTTGCAGATTCAATAATATAATTTTTCCATCTCTCTATCAAAAAAATCACCATATCTACTGTCATGTATATCTAAAGGGAAAAAATTTTTAAAATTTTTTTAAATCACCATAGCATTTCAATAGAACTTAAATAGCTATGGTTGCATTGAACTTTATATGCTTAATATCATATGTTTAAATGTTCTAATTTTCCTTCAAATGAACTCTATATCCAATGAAACCAGCACACATTAAGTAAACTTAAAAGCATTAAGTAAATGCTTGATTCTTTGCAAACTTTACACTATTTATCAAGCAATCTTTGAGGGATAGGTAAGAATGGCTTCCCTATTTGTTAAAGCTACACCCAAGCTTCCTCCCAGGAACTTCATGAGGCAACAGCAAGTCAGAGGAATTAGCAGTTCCCCACAGATCAAAGAGTTCCATGTTTTCTATGTGCAATAGGAAAATTAGAGATTAAGGAATATTTGATTGCCAAACAAATAAAAAAGTATTTAAGCATTTTAGTTAACTTTCCTTTTTACCCATAGATTTATACACTTCCTTCCTAATTCAGGAAAATTAATGAAAATCTATTGTCCAAAACACCACTGTTCATGCAAATGACCAACTCGTTGATGATTTTTTTACAAGCCTAAAATCCATTAAACATGATCAGTAGGCAATTTTTTAAATCATGTTATTTTAGGTTTCCAGCCTATGAATACTATAGATTTTATATTATATAACATTCTCACTGAATCCCCTGACTAGAAGGAATTCTTTTCCCTAAACCTCCATAGAATTGTATTTACCACTTCTACCACTTCTTCCTTGGAAAACTAGGAATGGAACCATCATTTGACCCAGCTATCTCTCTCCTTGGTTTATACCCAAAGGAAATAAAACAGCATATTACAGGGATACAGACACATAATTTTTTACAGCAGCACAATTCACAATAGCTAAATTGTAGAATCAACCTAGGTGTCCTTCAGTAGATGAATGGATTTTTAAAAATGTGGTATATACACACAATGGATTATTACTCAGCAATAAAAGAGAATAGAATCATGGCATTTGCAGGCAAATGGATGGAGTTAGAGAAGATAATGTTAAGTGAAGTTAGCCAATCCCAAAAAAATCAAATGCTGATGTTTTCTGATATAAGGAGGCTGATTCATAGTGGGGCAGGGAAAGGGTTCATGGGAAGAATAGATGAACTCTAGATAGGGCAGAGGGGTGAAAATGGGAGGGAGGGGGCACGGGCATAGAAATGAGGGTGGAATGAGATGGACATCGTTATCCAAAGTACATGTATGAAGACACAAATGGTGTGAATATACTTTGTATACAACCAGAGATATGAAAAATTGTGTAACATGAATTGTAGTGCATTCTGCTGTCATATATAACAAATTAGAATTTAAAAATCAATAATAATAATAATAATAAAGAATTTTATCTACCACTTCAAAGGCTCTCCTAACTGTCTACCTTGCTTGAAGTGTCTTTTCCTTCTATAATTCTATAATTCTCCTTACCACACTACATATAACATTAGCAGCTATTCAACAAATGATAGCTRAAAGGGTGAATTTGCACAAGTCAAACAGCTCTGTGCCATTTKACCTCCTGACTGAGGTGTCCAAGGAAAAATTAAAACYGAGAACAAAAATATCTAAGAAATGCTTAACCCACCTGGAAAACTATCTGAAGTGCCCACTTGAATGGCTAATGATAAATCATTATATGGTAAGGCCTAGGCAATTTCATTGTAGTTCAATACTGATTGTTTTAAGAATATTTTTCAGTTCAGGATTTCTGCCCTCCCGTTTGTCAGAATAGAGAATATGTGCAGCGGCATCAACAAGTAACAATGACATGACCCCTGTCTGAAACACACTGGGTGGGTGGTACTTACGACAGCCTGCCTCATCAGAGTTATCGCTGCAGTCAAAAACACCATCGCAACGGTAACTGTTGCTAATACATTTACTCCCATCAGCACACTTGAATTGAGAAGCAGTACAGTTTAATACTAACAATGGAAGAGAAAAACATTAGAAATTAGTTCAGAGAGAAAATGACCAAACACTGAGATTTCTGTAAACGCTGAGGGGGAAAAAAAAAAGCAAAGCAATCCACTTACCACAGTCGACCTCATCAGACCCATCAATACAGTCCTTGTCCCCATCACAGACAAAAGACGGGTCAATACACCGATGGTTGGGGCAACGAAACTGACTAGGTTGGCATGTTCCGGAAGTTTCTAATGTAAACAAAGCCAAGTAAGTTTATTTACTGTTCAACATGTACCAGAGCCAAATCGAAAAATACTAAGAAGCTACACAAGTTTTCTCGGTTATACGTGGGTTCAAGATTCTGTCAAATGAGCCCCATTGTCAGAGTCAGCAACATGAGAACTTTTAAAACTAGGCAATTTTTGGAATCAAAAATTAAAAGAATACAGAGCAGAGTCAGAAAGTGTGATTGCATCTTGAAAACTGGACTACATTTAGCAAGTAAACATGAAGGGCTTGGACAGCCACCACATCTCACAAACACTGTTAAGTCCGTGACTCGACTAAAGCTAAGCAAAGGAGCCCAAGGAGGCAACATGGGATCTGCAACCCACATGCCAATAGCTTCAGTGTATAGACAGATCACAATGACTGGGATTAATATAAAGTCTAAACAATTACAAAAACCAGGGTCCTACCTTGTTAAAACACCTTCAAGTTTTGCTAAATGCAGAAACTAGAATAGAATGCAAAAACTAGAAGGGACTTTAAAGTTCATCTACTCCAAGAGGAAACTGACTTGCCTAATCACACAACCAGGATTAGAATTTACTCTGGAGAGCTTTGCTTCACCTTAAATTATCATTGCAGACATGCAAATGAACAATAACTTAAAAGGGTAAGAACTGGAAAGAGGAAAACCAGGTAGGTAAGAGTACCAGAAATTTAAATTTTCTGTACACCTTTATTATTCTGTTGTCTTTTTGCCTTGCATCAAGTGAAAAGAATTGTATCTACCACTTCAAAGGCCCTCCTAACTGTCTACCTTGCTTTAAGTGTCTTTGCCTTCTATGATTCTCCTTACCACAGTCTATGGACAAACACTATATATAACATTAACAGCTATTCTACAAATGATAGCTGAAAGGGTGAATTTGTACAAGTCAATACCACATACAGCTCTTTACCATTTGACCTCCTGACTGAGATGTCCAAGGAAAAACAAAAAACCGAGAACAAAAATATCTAAGAAATCCATTGCCAAATGTCTGGATATGTTTATATGATTTCTTAAATTTGCTTTAAATATCTGAATAGTTAGTTGAGGGACTCTTTTTTCAGCAGGGTTTCACTATATGGTCCAGGCTGTTATCAACTACAGGGATCAAGAGATCCTCCAGCCTCAGCCTCCTGAGTAACTGGGAGTATAGGTATGTGCCACTTTTTTTCAGGTCCTATCTGAATGTTTGGCATGAGAGAACAGCCCATTTTCTTCCACAGAATTTAAGATCTGTAGGACTCTGGTACATGCCTTGATTTTTCAGCCCATTGATACACAGATGGACAGACAGAATAAGAGTGCCCAAAGAACAATGAAAATAGTTTGGCCTACTGACTAGCTGACCAACCAAGAGACACTCGTGCAAAACTTACGGCAGTGCTTCTCGTCAGATCCATCCCCACAGTCATTGTCTGTGTCGCAGACCCAGTTCCTTGGGATACAAAGATTATTATCACAGGTGAAGTAGGACCCTGAGCAGGAAGCAGGTGCGCGGGTGGGACAGTTTTGCTCATCACTGCCATCCACACAGTCATTTTGCTTGTCACAGCGCCAGTGTGCAGGGATGCACTCTCCTCCATGAGCACAGGTGAATGCCGTAGGCGAACAGGTGTTATCTGCAAAGCAGTGAACTGGTCATGAAGATATTTGCTTTTCCAGCATTTTACTTGAGTTCTTGCCTTGTGGGCCAAAGGCTCTCCTTTTTCAGTGACAGCATTATATAAAATACGGAGAGATGTGCATCAAATGATACCCTCTAATCATCAAAATCCTCTAAGTACTATACGTACACTTAATATGTTTATGTTTGTATATCTGTAAGGATATATATATCCTCTCTTAATTCTCACAACAATACTATGAAGTATGCATAATTATCTGCATTTTACAAATATAGAAAACTGAGACTCTGAGAGACTTAGAAATCTGCCTAAGATCACCAGGTRCAGTGGCGCRCTCCTGTAATTCCAGAGGCTCAGGAGGCTCAGGCAGGAGGATCATGAGTTTAAAGCCAACCTCAGCAACAGTGAGGCACTAAGCAACTCAGGGAGATCCCGTCTCTAAATACAATACAAAATAGGACTGGGGATGTGGCTCAGTGGTTGAGTGCCCAAGTTCAATCCCCAGTACCAAAAAAAGAAAAGAAATCTGCCTAAGATCCAAGCTGTAGTTGATGTGGTCAATAGGTACATCTTTAACTTCTAAAGGAAGCTTCACTTCCTCTAATCATAAYTTCAAACTCAGTCTACAGAAACCTTGAAATAGATAAAATATCCAAGTACAAATGGACAATCTGAGAAGCAGGAAAATAATTCATAGAAAGATAAAACTTTCAGAAATTCCAGAAAAAMCGCACAAGTGAACACTTCTATTTTTCAATTCTGGCACTTTTCTTTTTCTCCAAAAAGACAGGTTACTATTACTTTTGGTCTCACCTTCACAGAGATTTCTAAGATTTCAACTGTCCTCTAACTTTATTGTTTAAAACTTCAATGGGATACATATGCCTTCTGTAATAGCATTTTATTAAACCTCAAACTTCAAAGACTAGAAAACCAGCAAATAACAGGTAAAGGTTAAGACCGTCATTTCACCCTTAATTCATGTTACTCCAAAAGGTGGGGAAAAGAAATATAACATATGACATTTGCAAAGACTATGATGGCAAGTACCCATTGTGATAATATTTTCTCAGATACTAAAGGCTATATCCATTTTGATTCAACTGTGTGGGGGGCAGGGGCKGGGGATGGAATCAGGGCCTCATGTACACTAAGCAAGTGCTTCATCACTAAGCCAGATCCCTAATCCTGACTCAACTTTTTGAGTGCTTATCAAGATGTAATGACTCTGAATTGGTCCAAAGAGCTAATGTCCAAACAAATTTATTGAAGATAATCTAAATCAAYGCTGGAAACTATTTGTGACATTATATGAAAGGCATTTATTGCTTAGCTTCCTAAAAGCCTTTGGAGTACATGTTAAGAATCTGAAATTCTAAAAGATATTTTTCCTRTATAAATAACCTAAGCTTCTTCAGGAAATATCTCCCGAGCACAGCTACTTACTAGATGCACCACACAGATGCTCGTCACTGTTATCATGACAGTCGTCAACTCCATCACAGCGGTAGTAACTGGGCACACATCGGCCATTGTTGCAGGAGAAGGAAAAAGAGCCACACTGCTCAGTGGGTGGTTCACGGACCGGGTCTCCCTCGCAATTCAAGTGATTGGAAGTCAGCTTCATTCCATAGGGGCACCCACATACCCGCTGGAAATTTGGCACTGGGAAGCAGAAGTGGCTGCAATCGCCATTGGGGTGGCTGGGTTGACTGCAGTAGTTAGATCCTGAAAATGGAAAATGCAAAGCCCTGACAGAGTAAGTTCTGCACATGCCCATTACATTGATCACAGGTTTGATTCATGAAGGCACACAAACAGGAAAGAACACTGTTCATACCCAGTATTAAAACATAGCAAGCATCCTCTTGGAAGTAATAACATAATAAATATGTTATTATACCCTGCTACAAACACCAGGGTATAATAACATATTTAAGTAGATAGGAGCCTAACAGTTGTGTGCAGTACACAAGCTATCCAGCCATCCACAGAGCTTTGTTTTCAAAACTAAACAAACTAGCCATTTCATGGTGCAAGTTTACACTCTTATCCCCAGCAGCTCAACTCAGAGAAGCTTGTCTACCCTCAAGAAGGCGGCTGAGAGAAGGAAGGTTGAAGCACTGGCTGGGATCATGGCAGCGGTGTTTTCCCAGAATCCCAAGCTTCCCAGCAATCTCTACGAGTAACATGAAAATTCTTTGGAAATAGTGTTAAAGAAATAATCATGTCTTTCTGTTTTTTTAAGTAGTACCCTAACATTTCTCTACAACAAAGATAATTACCCAACATTTTGATGAACAAGCTTCAAAATTATTCAATGGATACACGTAATCATTTTTCTACAAGGTTCTGATGAGGTTCTTGCAAACAGAGAACAATGAAATCCTATAATAGTTCCTATAAACAACTCTTGCTATCTAATTCTTGAATGACTTTAAATCATTCAATGACTTTAAATCATTTCTTCACGTGAAACTTAGTTATGTAAGTACATACTCAGGAATTGTAGAAGTGTAAACTACAAAGTGCTATGCCTAAATAATTAATCGACATTCTTATCTAAATGTGTCCAAAGCAACACACTCTAAAACTCTTATTTTCCATCAACAAACCAACTGTTTTGTCTACATATAATAGCACCATTTTAATTTTTTGTATTTTAAAGTAACAAGCTTTTCTGAAATTGTGAGAGAGACCAATGAGAATGGTTTTACTGTTATGAATTGCAAACACACTTTTTATTGATTCAAAACATACCTTTAAAGACAGTAAGTCCAAATGGATGTGTCATCTGCTCGATATGGCCCAGAGTTCTTCTATCTAAGCCATCAAAGGTGCTGTGCTCAATTTTATCAAAAAAGGCATCTACCCAGTATAATCGTGAAGCACTAAAACAATAAAATACTTAAGTTATCCATTATCCAAAAACCAGCAGATCACCCTGAGGGAATTCAAAATCAAAATGCTCAATCAACACCTTTATCAAACAAAGTTTGATAAAGTTTTAGGTCCCTCAGAAAAGGAGAGCTACTTTCATCAAATGACTTTCAATTAACTATCTTTGAAAACTTGAAATGTTGCTATCTTTGAGTGGGGATTTTATTTTTCTCCTTGTAAAATCCATAAGTTAAGAAAAATATTGGTAATATCACCTATGTTTAAAAGGCTAAATACATTTCTTCCTTTTTTTCCCTCCCAAAACTACTTTGGCATATCATATTTGTAAGCTAATTTATATTTTCCTTTTCCATATTCCTAGATGGATCATCAATTTTCTAGAACTATATCTCATACCTCAAAATTCTCCCAAAATGCATATAAACAAATGCACATTTGTTGACTGACTTCAAAATTTTCCTATCCTCAAGACACCCCTGGAGGAAATTACACATAACCAGTGTTTCATCAAATCCTTATTCTACTACTAATAGGGTTGGGACTCACTTCCTCCCTCTCGACCCTCCACTATGCCCTGTCATTCTGTTGCTTCTAGAAATTTCCTCAGAAAATTCATGAAAGCATTGGTTTTCATCCCACCAGTAACTGGCCAACCACGTTTGTGTTCTTATATCATTTAACATCCTCCTCCCATCTCAATTAATGATTAAAAAGTTTCTGAGGACATGGAGTGTGCTTATCCTTACTCCATCATGGCAACCCACTTTGCCTTATATCTGTGTTGCACTAAGTGGGAACTCAGTAACGAATGATATGGGGTGATTCCTACTTACCCCCAATCGATGGCCAATCCATTGGGCCATCCAAGAGTGGTATTCACTATAGGCTCAAGGTGAGATCCATCAGTCCATGCTCTCAAAATTTTTGCAGGACGGAACCAATCAGAGAAGAATACATACCTGGAAAAAGAGGTAATAAATCATGGATGTTAACGAGGGATAAATTACATGACTCAGGGATTTCACAAAAACAAATTTTCTAGAGACTTGCTGCAATTAATTTCATTTTCTGTATATGCTGTGAAGCTTAACAGACTATTGTATAACTAATATAATTCTTAGTTAAAAGTACAGTTATCAATATGTAATCAAAGTGAAAAACACACATGGTATTAAAATAAACATCCAAAACAGAAAACCACTGTCCTAGACTTTAAAACCTAAAACAATTGTCACCCAATACTCCATGTTATTGAAATAAAATAATAGACCACCATGAGCAATAAAGTAGATTGTATCCTCTCTTTCTCTTTGGATTAAACATCCAGGACCCACTAGATCTACTAGATTACTTCCTATTATTCTTCTATAAGGAGTTGATAAATTTGCAATAAAAACATTTCATCCCAGATGAAGAAAAGCATCCAAATCATCCAATAAAAACATTTCATCCCAGATGAAGAAAAGCATCCAAATACTCAAAGAATATCGCACTCAAAGCATCTTTTTGTTTTTATTATGAGGACTGGGGAAAAAATGTAAGTCTATGGGGGAAAGAAATCCTTTCCTCTTTCATATAATCCCTAGGAATCAAAATTAGTCATTTCCAAAGTGTGACTTTCTGAAATGTGACTTCATATCATTTTAAATGAAAAAGCCATTAAGAATTTAACCACTTTACAAAACCACATGCCAAAGAGTTAGTTAAGATAAATTAACTAGAAAAAAATCTATGGTTTACCTCTCTATAGGACCACAGAATTTCTTATCAATGATATCAGTTTTAAAGTATGTTTCTTCTAGTGTTTTACAAAGAGAAAATAAAAATATAAAGTGCATACTGCAGAGGTGGCAGAGAGACCTGGGTTAGGCAGAGCTGTACATAGAACAGAGCTGGAGTATGAACACTAACTCTCAGCAATGACTGAGTCCTCCACAAGTCCCTAACATGGGCATTATACATACTTTTTCACAAACTGGTTTCGGGATTAGATGAGAGTATGTATGTTAAGGGCTCACTACATAAATGAATCGGGCTTCAGTGAATGACCACTGCTCTTTTTCCATCCAAATACAACAACCTACCTTGCTGCAAACAATCATGTCAGCTATTAAACATATTTTTAAAATCTTTTTGTTATTACATTATAGATACACATGATAGAGGGGTTCATTTGACATATTCATAAATGCATAAAACAGTTTGCTCCATTTTGATCTCTAGTACTTCCCTTTTCCCTTCTCACCTTCCCCTCCCCCCCATGATCTCCTTCTTTTACTCTATTGTTATTCCCCCTATTTATTTTTAATTGGTGCATTATAATTATGCATAAAATTAGAATGCATTATGATATCTTCAAACATGCACACAATGTGATCTGGAACCTTTACTCCCCAGTCGTTCCTCTTGCCCTCCCCTCCTCCCCATCCTTGGTCCCCTTTTTATTAGTTCTCTTTAGTTGTATATAACATTAGGGTTCATTCTGATGTAATTATGAAAGCGTGGAATCTACTTTGTTCTAATTCAATCCCCAGTACTTTTCCTCTCCCTCACCTCCTCCCTCCCCGTTCTCTTCCCTTTACTCTACTAATCCTTCTGCTATTTACCTCTAGGTTTTCTTTATCTAGTTTGTGTCTTGTGGATGTACAAGATGATGGGACTCAGTGTAGCATAATCACGTATACACATAGGAAAGTCGGGTCAGATCCACTTCACTGTTCTTCCCTTATAGCATCCCTTCTCCCTCCCCCTCAGTCCCTGTTACAGTTTGGATGTGTGGTGCCCTCCAAAAGCTCATGTGTGAAACAATGCAAGAACATTCAGAGGTGAAATTATTGAATTATGAGGCCTTAACCTGATCAGTGAATTAGTCCCCTGCTAGGGATTACCTGAGTGGCAACTGAAGGTGAGTAGGACGTGGCTGGAGGAGGTGGGTCACTGGGGGCATGGCTTTGGGGTATATATTTGGTGAGCTGAGCTTAGTGTGTNAAAAAGGAATACAGAGGATTTGTATTTTCAGTCATCACTTACTTATAAATCAATCACTTAGGGAATTAACTTACTTATAAATAAATTTCTGAGAGAAAGCAATAGGCTTGTAATGCTTCTCACAATTCCAAGACTCTTCTCCCACAAATATCTCTAATCTGTCTCTTGTAACCATTTTCCATGACCAGTTATTCTCTATAAATGCTCTTTGGAAGTCTACATTTTATTAATATCATCGTCAGGTTCAGGGCAAGTATGCATGAAATTTTATGATGGCATTTAGATTTAAACTTTGATAGGAAAAAGTTTTTTTTTTTTATTCTCAATGTTCTACATGAGGCCCCTTAAGACTAGGCTCTTCTCCCAACATTAAGTTGCCTAGTGGGTAAGCAAAATACTTAACTATGTGAAGACAACATCTAACATCCCTTCCAAGTCCAAAATTGTGTAGCCCATGTCTGCATGAGAATGCTTAATTTTTTAATGTTCAACTTTGATAAGTTATTGAGAAGGAAAAGTACAAATCTAGTCCAAAGAGGAACTTTCAGTATGTTTGGGGATTGGTAAAAATATCAACATAAGGGTTCATACACCTGCAACCTCATCCATGTTCCATGGTGCTCAGAATGGCAAAACAGAGGCAGCATAAGATTTTAACCTAACAAAAATTTAATCATGTTCACTTTATACTAACTACTGAAGCAAGGAAGTAAACACATAGACATCAACAGTGTTCAAAAGAAAAAACTGAATCAACATGGATTTTCTCTTGGGCTATCGTTGAAAATTCCAATTAACTAGAAAACATTTAAGATGCCACAAATTTGATCATGAGATCAATTTTCCTTATCTGTGGCCTAATCAATGACCAATCAGTTATTGGACTCACTAAATATTTTTTCCATGACAAAGTCAGTCCCACCATTCAGGAGGTATATATAATAACATATTTAAGTAGATTAGGAGCTCAATCAAACTTTCAGTCCTGTGCAATGTATAGTCWACCTAGTCTGTTGGTAAAAAGGGGCATAATGTCCACGGTATGACACAACAAAAGAACTTTCCATTAGAGATCCACCCTGTGAGCCAGGGTTGGAAGAAACTGCTCTCGTTATTTTGGGAATATCATGTTGTTCTCATGGGGATGCACTCAAGTTGTTGTTCATACTGATGAAACCAAAAGGTACTGAAATTGCATTTTTATTCAATCCCAAAACATTTCAGCACAGAGCAGAGAGAATACAACATTCTTATAATATTCCTATATAGCAGCAAATAGCATGTATCTGATATCATTAGAGAAAAGGGAGTAAATACTTGAGAGGGTGGCTATTTATAATTGACTCATCTCACCAAAAATCTCACAAGAGCATGTCTTAAATATTTTTAAATACCACACACTCCAAAGATAAAACAGACAGCAGGGTGGAATATGCAATATATTTACTCTTCATTCCACACTCTATGCACGTGAGAAAATTGTTGATTTATGGCCAATGTCTAGTTTTTTTTTAAGGATTATACTGATTATTCAAAGTAGTTTCAACTAGCATATACTTAGGGCCTTTGGTGGCCACTATACAGTGTCACCCTTCGAACTGATTATGGTTTTTCATGCATAACCAGAATAGACATCAATCTCTCCTCACTCGTGGCCTAACAGTTGTGTGAAGTACACAAGCTATCCAGCCATCCACAGAGCTTTGTTTTCAAAACTAAACAAACTAGCCATTTCATGGTGCAAGTTTACACTCTTATCCCCAGCAGCTCAACTCAGAGAAGCTTGYCTAYMCTCAAGAAGGSGGCTGAGAGAAGGAAGGTTGAAGCACTGGCTGGGATCATGGCAGCGGTGTTTTCCCAGAATCCCAAGCTTCCCAGCAATCTCTACGAGTAACATGAAAATTCTTTGGAAATAGTGTTAAAGAAATAATCATGTCTTTCTGTTTTTTTAAGTAGTACCCTAACATTTCTCTACAACAAAGATAATTACCCAACATTTTGATGAACAAGCTTCAAAATTATTCAATGGATACACGTAATCATTTTTCTACAAGGTTCTGATGAGGTTCTTGCAAACAGAGAACAATGAAATCCTATAATAGTTCCTATAAACAACTCTTGCTATCTAATTCTTGAATGACTTTAAATCATTCAATGACTTTAAATCATTTCTTCACGTGAAACTTAGTTATGTAAGTACATACTCAGGAATTGTAGAAGTGTAAACTACAAAGTGCTATGCCTAAATAATTAATCGACATTCTTATCTAAATGTGTCCAAAGCAACACACTCTAAAACTCTTATTTTCCATCAACAAACCAACTGTTTTGTCTACATATAATAGCACCATTTTAATTTTTTGTATTTTAAAGTAACAAGCTTTTCTGAAATTGTGAGAGAGACCAATGAGAATGGTTTTACTGTTATGAATTGCAAACACACTTTTTATTGATTCAAAACATACCTTTAAAGACAGTAAGTCCAAATGGATGTGTCATCTGCTCGATATGGCCCAGAGTTCTTCTATCTAAGCCATCAAAGGTGCTGTGCTCAATTTTATCAAAAAAGGCATCTACCCAGTATAATCGTGAAGCACTAAAACAATAAAATACTTAAGTTATCCATTATCCAAAAACCAGCAGATCACCCTGAGGGAATTCAAAATCAAAATGCTCAATCAACACCTTTATCAAACAAAGTTTGATAAAGTTTTAGGTCCCTCAGAAAAGGAGAGCTACTTTCATCAAATGACTTTCAATTAACTATCTTTGAAAACTTGAAATGTTGCTATCTTTGAGTGGGGATTTTATTTTTCTCCTTGTAAAATCCATAAGTTAAGAAAAATATTGGTAATATCACCTATGTTTAAAAGGCTAAATACATTTCTTCCTTTTTTTCCCTCCCAAAACTACTTTGGCATATCATATTTGTAAGCTAATTTATATTTTCCTTTTCCATATTCCTAGATGGATCATCAATTTTCTAGAACTATATCTCATACCTCAAAATTCTCCCAAAATGCATATAAACAAATGCACATTTGTTGACTGACTTCAAAATTTTCCTATCCTCAAGACACCCCTGGAGGAAATTACACATAACCAGTGTTTCATCAAATCCTTATTCTACTACTAATAGGGTTGGGACTCACTTCCTCCCTCTCGACCCTCCACTATGCCCTGTCATTCTGTTGCTTCTAGAAATTTCCTCAGAAAATTCATGAAAGCATTGGTTTTCATCCCACCAGTAACTGGCCAACCACGTTTGTGTTCTTATATCATTTAACATCCTCCTCCCATCTCAATTAATGATTAAAAAGTTTCTGAGGACATGGAGTGTGCTTATCCTTACTCCATCATGGCAACCCACTTTGCCTTATATCTGTGTTGCACTAAGTGGGAACTCAGTAACGAATGATATGGGGTGATTCCTACTTACCCCCAATCGATGGCCAATCCATTGGGCCATCCAAGAGTGGTATTCACTATAGGCTCAAGGTGAGATCCATCAGTCCATGCTCTCAAAATTTTTGCAGGACGGAACCAATCAGAGAAGAATACATACCTGGAAAAAGAGGTAATAAATCATGGATGTTAACGAGGGATAAATTACATGACTCAGGGATTTCACAAAAACAAATTTTCTAGAGACTTGCTGCAATTAATTTCATTTTCTGTATATGCTGTGAAGCTTAACAGACTATTGTATAACTAATATAATTCTTAGTTAAAAGTACAGTTATCAATATGTAATCAAAGTGAAAAACACACATGGTATTAAAATAAACATCCAAAACAGAAAACCACTGTCCTAGACTTTAAAACCTAAAACAATTGTCACCCAATACTCCATGTTATTGAAATAAAATAATAGACCACCATGAGCAATAAAGTAGATTGTATCCTCTCTTTCTCTTTGGATTAAACATCCAGGACCCACTAGATCTACTAGATTACTTCCTATTATTCTTCTATAAGGAGTTGATAAATTTGCAATAAAAACATTTCATCCCAGATGAAGAAAAGCATCCAAATCATCCAATAAAAACATTTCATCCCAGATGAAGAAAAGCATCCAAATACTCAAAGAATATCGCACTCAAAGCATCTTTTTGTTTTTATTATGAGGACTGGGGAAAAAATGTAAGTCTATGGGGGAAAGAAATCCTTTCCTCTTTCATATAATCCCTAGGAATCAAAATTAGTCATTTCCAAAGTGTGACTTTCTGAAATGTGACTTCATATCATTTTAAATGAAAAAGCCATTAAGAATTTAACCACTTTACAAAACCACATGCCAAAGAGTTAGTTAAGATAAATTAACTAGAAAAAAATCTATGGTTTACCTCTCTATAGGACCACAGAATTTCTTATCAATGATATCAGTTTTAAAGTATGTTTCTTCTAGTGTTTTACAAAGAGAAAATAAAAATATAAAGTGCATACTGCAGAGGTGGCAGAGAGACCTGGGTTAGGCAGAGCTGTACATAGAACAGAGCTGGAGTATGAACACTAACTCTCAGCAATGACTGAGTCCTCCACAAGTCCCTAACATGGGCATTATACATACTTTTTCACAAACTGGTTTCGGGATTAGATGAGAGTATGTATGTTAAGGGCTCACTACATAAATGAATCGGGCTTCAGTGAATGACCACTGCTCTTTTTCCATCCAAATACAACAACCTACCTTGCTGCAAACAATCATGTCAGCTATTAAACATATTTTTAAAATCTTTTTGTTATTACATTATAGATACACATGATAGAGGGGTTCATTTGACATATTCATAAATGCATAAAACAGTTTGCTCCATTTTGATCTCTAGTACTTCCCTTTTCCCTTCTCACCTTCCCCTCCCCCCCATGATCTCCTTCTTTTACTCTATTGTTATTCCCCCTATTTATTTTTAATTGGTGCATTATAATTATGCATAAAATTAGAATGCATTATGATATCTTCAAACATGCACACAATGTGATCTGGAACCTTTACTCCCCAGTCGTTCCTCTTGCCCTCCCCTCCTCCCCATCCTTGGTCCCCTTTTTATTAGTTCTCTTTAGTTGTATATAACATTAGGGTTCATTCTGATGTAATTATGAAAGCGTGGAATCTACTTTGTTCTAATTCAATCCCCAGTACTTTTCCTCTCCCTCACCTCCTCCCTCCCCGTTCTCTTCCCTTTACTCTACTAATCCTTCTGCTATTTACCTCTAGGTTTTCTTTATCTAGTTTGTGTCTTGTGGATGTACAAGATGATGGGACTCAGTGTAGCATAATCACGTATACACATAGGAAAGTCGGGTCAGATCCACTTCACTGTTCTTCCCTTATAGCATCCCTTCTCCCTCCCCCTCAGTCCCTGTTACAGTTTGGATGTGTGGTGCCCTCCAAAAGCTCATGTGTGAAACAATGCAAGAACATTCAGAGGTGAAATTATTGAATTATGAGGCCTTAACCTGATCAGTGAATTAGTCCCCTGCTAGGGATTACCTGAGTGGCAACTGAAGGTGAGTAGGACGTGGCTGGAGGAGGTGGGTCACTGGGGGCATGGCTTTGGGGTATATATTTGGTGAGCTGAGCTTAGTGTGTCTCTCTCTCTCTCTCTCTCTCTCTCTCTCTCTCTCTCTCTCTCTCTTCTCCCCACCGCCTTTTGGATACTCATGTGAGCTGCTTCCCTTAGCCATGATATTCAGCCTTACTAAAGCCCCAAGGAATGGACTGAGACCTCTGAAACCATGAACCCCCCAAATAAACTTTTCAACCTCTAAAATTATTCTTATCAGGTCTTTTAGTCATGGCAGAAAAAAGGCTGACCAAAGCAGTCCTCTTCATCTAACCTAGTGATCTTTTTTCAATTACCTTTCTCTTTCTTTTTCTCTCTTTTTTTGCCCCTTATTTTGGACTAGCTTCTGCAGACCAGAGAAAAACATTCAAACTTTGGCTTCCTGGGTCTAACTTATTTCACTTAGTATGATAGTTTCCTGTTCCATCCATTAGCTGGAAAATGTCATAATTTCATTCTTCTTTATGACTGAGTAATACTCCATTGTGTGTGTGTGTGTGTGTGTGTGTGTGCGTACACACACACACATTTCCTTTATCCATTCATCTGCTGAAAAGCACCTTGATTCGTTCCCTAGCTTGGCTATTGTGAATTGTACTGCTATTGACAATGATGTGGCTATATCCCTCTAGTATTTTATAGCTAATTTTAGATCTTTTGGATATATAGCAAGGAGTGGGATAGCTGAGTCATATGGTGGTTCCACCCCAGTTTTTTGAGGAATCTCCATACTGCTTTCCAGAGTGGCTGCACTAATTTGTAGTCCCACCAACAACCTATGAGTGTACCTTTTTCCCCACATCCTCACCAACACTTATTATTTGTGTACTTGATAATTGCCATTCTGACTAGAGTGAGTCGAAACTCAGTGTAGTTTTGATTTGCATTTCCCTGATGGCTAGCGATGTGGAACATTTTTTCATATATTTGTTGGGCCAATCATATTTCTTCTTTTGAGAAGTATCTGTTTAGTTCTTTTGCCAATTTATTAATTGGGTTATTTGATTTTTTTTTTTTTTTGGTGTCAAGCTTTTTGAGTTCTTTATATATTCCGGATATTAATGCCCTATCCAAGAAACAAAGACATTCTCCCATTCTGTAGGCTATCTAGTCATACTCTTAACTGTTTCCTTTGCTGTGCAGAAGTTTTTAAGTTTGATGCCATCCTATCTATTGRTTTTTGGTTTTATTTCTTACACTTTAGAAATCTTGTTAAGAAAGTCATTTCCTGGTGCTGGGGTTGTAGCTCAGTGGTAGAGCGCTTGCCTAGCATGTATGAGGCACTAGGTTCAATTCTCAGCACCACATAAAAATAAATAAATTAAATAAAGGTATTATGTCCATCTACAAATAATCATGATTTTTAAAATAATTATGATTTTTAAAAAGTCAGTTCCTGAGCCTACATTTTGGAGTGGTGGGTCTATATTTTCTTCTAGCAGTTACAGAGTTTGTTCTCATTCCTGGGTCTCTGATCCACTTTGAGTTGACTTTACAAGGGCAAGAGATAAAGGTCAAGCTTCATTCTTCTACATATCCAGTTTCCCAGTGCCATTTGTATGAAACATATTTTAAAAGAAAGGTAAGAACCAAAAAGGAATACTGTGGACTGTTCTGTCTTTTCTTCTCTGACCCCCATCAATGACATGAAACTGCCTGTGATCTAGAAAACTTCTTACTCTGAAAACTACCGAATGATTAAGCATGTTTTGTTACATTTCATAAGAATTCATTAAAACAGGGCAAGAATTGGAGTCTTTCCTCCTAATTCTGCTGTGTATCTTGTTCCTTCCCCAACAAATCTGTACTGCAACCATGGTCCTCTGCAACCATGAAAAAAACCACACCAGTACAAACCAGGGAAGCTGAGACTGAGAATAGTTTTTTGAAGGAGATAAAATGATTACTTAAGCTTATGCTAATRGAGGAAAATTTAAGGTGATTTCAAGTTACATAGTTCAACCTTAYATTTACTAAACTTGCCAAAAACCCCTAGGACATCACTTTTCCATGACTAAAAGAGGCGTGGTTTCAAGCTCTTAGAAAAACAGGCACATACTTACCCAGCAAGAGGATGAACCACAATTGACCGGGGATTATTTAAATTCTCAATGATTTCCCGTCTGGATTTATCAGCAAGCTTCATGACACTAACAGTCTGATAAGAAGGGTCTGTCCAGTAGAGATTCTTAGAAATCCAGTCAAAAGTCAGACTTTCAACATTTTCCACCCTATTTGCTGTGAGAATTTCTCTTCCTGTAAGTTCAAACATGGACATGGTTTAAACTAAGTATATCACATAAGACATAAATTTTCCTATTACTGCATATTTAAATTCTGTGTCAGTCAGAGCACATTTCAGGTACATGAGGAATTAAAAAAAAAAAAACACTGAGCAACAACATGAGATAAACCTCAAATTTATTCATTCCCCAAAGTTTGGATCTCAAAGAATAGATATGATACTTATAAATATAACCAGGAGTGGTGTAGTCTGGACTCACTCCCTTGTTCAAACTTCAAGGAAAAAAAAAATTCTCATTGCAGAACATCAGAAAAAAAAAAAAAAAGATACCTGAGTTCACCTACTACCACCCCCAGACGGCTCCAAGGAGCTGATACTGCCAGGTACAACCAGGGGGTGACCGGAGGTGTTACCGCCCAACCCTCTCACCAGTCTTTCAACAGACTTTCACAACCACAAAGTTGCCAAGTTTGGAAAAGACCAGCAAAGATACCAGGAAGGAAATCAGAACTGGGTACAGGAGAAAAGAAACCACTTTCCTCTCTGAAAAAAATATTTATGCTTTTCCCCTCTCTTCTTTCTTTTCTTTTTCTCTAGTCAAGAAAAAAATCTCAGTCAGAATAGRTAATTAGATCTTTATTTTACAGTTTTTTAAAAAAAAAGTCCTAGTATTTTCTGTCATTGTTTCAGCAAATCATAAAAATAAAGCCCTCTATGAGATAGACAACATATTAGATATTTAGGTAACATAATATTGCTAATAATAGCTTACGGTAATTGAGCATTTACTATGATCCAGGAATTGATAAAAAWAAAAAAGACTTTTTATGGATTCACCCATCCTCATGGCCACTTAATCAAGTTGGCATTATTTTGTCCATTTTCTAGATGAGGAAAGTGAGTCATAGAGAAGTAAAGCATCTAGAAAGATGCCCTCAAAGAACTTTATGTCTCRGAGAGAGGAAGACACAATTGTGCCCAGAGGCAGAAATAAAAGAGTGCTGGGTGCTGTGATGGAGGTGTGCCGAGGATGGTGCCCAGCACAGACTCCTGGCATATGGCATGAGTGCAGACGGTGGGGACACATGGAGAGTTCCTCCAAAGGGAAGCAGGGAACTGGGGGCTACAGGAGAGCAAACCTTGTGACTGAGAGGGAGAGAGATTAAGAACTCCCTGGGGAGCATGGGGGTCAATGGGTTAATAACAGAAACAAAAGCAGAGGAAGAAGATCACAAGAAATCCAGGCTGTGCGGAGGCAGGAAGGAACAAGCAGTTGTACTCTTCTTCTAAGGCAGAGAGTCTGGAAAGAATGGGATGAAGGGGTCCACTGGCCATGTTGATTTCAAACTGGTTGTGGATATCTAGAAGAGGCAGCCTGGATCTGAACCTCAGAGAGATTGCCCAGGCCTGCCTTTCATTCCCCAGGTTAGGAAGACACTCGACTAGTCAACATTCTGCAAAAAGGCTCCCACAGTAATTTAACAACAACTAATGCACAAATGGGAATCAAACACCTAGACATTAGGACATTATGCAGAAAAAGKACCAATGCTGAACTCCAGAGATTAATGTTAGGACAGGCAAAGGACAAAAGACTTCTAAGGGGGCTGGGGATGTGGCTCAAGCAGTAGCGCGCTCGCCTGGCATGCATGCAGCCCAGATTCGACCCTCAGCACCACATACAAACAAAGATGTTGTGTCTGCTGAAAACTAAAAATATTTTTAAAATTCTCTCTCTCTCTCTCTCTCAAAAAAAAAAAAAATTATAAAGACTTCTAAGGGACACAAGAAGGAATGGACAAGAAATGAAAGGAAATCGAAACATTTTTTGAGAAGATGACCAAAGAATCAAAGATAGGGACTAGAAAACATGGGATCCAAGATGATGGCGAGGAGGTAGGCTAAGATTAACTCCTCTAGGGTTGAAATCAAAGAAGACCGCTGACCAAAGAAGTGGGTGACGGAGAACATGCACAGCCTCACAATCTTGCAAGGTCAGAAGCTCAGAGAGACTCAGTAATGCTGGTTACTGGAACACAAAACAGGACTGAAGACAATTATTTAATTTAGCAACAAAGAGATGAGCAAGATGAGAGGGGTTCCAGGGAGGTGATGGGCAGATAGATTTTGAGGTGAGGAGTCAGAAGAGGGGACAGGAAAGGGCAGACCAATCTTTCAAGAAAATTGCCCATGAAATAAATGAAGGAGAAAGGGCTGTCACTGGAAAGGAATATGCACTGGCAAATGGGCTACATTTTAAAAAAAGAAAAAGACAAGTATACCTAATAGGGCAAAGTCAGTAGAAAAAGATAATTTTTTTTTAATTTCAGATTAATTTTTAATTTCAGGTATAGAGATCAACAGATCATGCCATCAACCAAATAAAGTACCCAAAAGGAAAGTGTGGCTGACCATAATTTATCTGTCTTCTTTGACCATTATAAAAATTTTAACAGAATTTTAATCAATTAAAACTTAAGTGTGGATTTACAAATCCAAATCTCATATAATTCACTTTTTAAGAAATTATTGTCATTCCAAGTTCAGCCATTGGCACAAAAGTAGGCCAGTATCCCCAAAGAAACATCATCCCATTGGACCAATCTGAACCTTTAAGCTATTGAGGGTTTCTAGACACTTGACCTTCTTCTCCTGTTAATATTGTCATTATTAAAATACACCATCACTTATAACTTGTTTTGAAAATGAAAAGTGCTTGTTTCCAACATAATTTATTTTTTWAAAAAAACAACAAATTTCTTTTCTCAATCCAAAAGTATTTATCAAGCCTAATAAAGATCCTGCTTAAAAAGTGGATCTTAAAAGTTAAACTGAATGAATTATTTGCATGATTACTGAAAATAGCCAAAACACACACACACACACACACACACACACATACACACATTTTCTTACCTGTGCCATCAATCTTTTGCTTATAAATCATATCTTTTGATGTATCTGAAAAAAAGATTGAACTCTCCTGGGCATCAAAATCAATCCCAAGAAAAAAAGAAGGATTCCCCGTCACTGGAACCATGACATCCTCCTGGGTGGAGGGGGTGAATGGGATCCCACGCACAGCCAGTTCAGATGAAAAGATCAAGAAGTTCTTAATAGCTGTAGGAGGAAGAACAGCACAGTCAGCCACAGCATGGTTCTTGCCTTCACCAAATCCCAGACAAATCACATTGTTCATAAAGACACTTTATCATCATGAAATATAATTTTGAAATAAACATAACAAATTTGTGAAAACCATAGCTGGTAATAATAGAAGGGAAGAAGAAGAAAAATGCAACTACAAAGGTGATAMATGTATTCAAAACTTCTTCCTGAGAAATTTATCCTTAGGGTTTATTGGCATYAAAAGCAGTGTCCACATACTATAAATTTTAAAATAGAATTTGCTAAACTCCACAGTAATTCCATCAAAATTCTCAAGTTGGAATAACTTTTGGACAGAAATTGACACCAACAATCATAAGGCAGCTTTTGGAGTGTCAAGATCAGAAAGAAAAAAAGAATCAACATCAATGGAATGAGACAAGGTGAGGGAGAGGAGGAACAAAGGAAAGGGATAGGAAGAAGTGATTATTAAAACCCAAGAAGGAGACAGTACATCAGGAATTCAAAAAGACAGTGATAAAGGCAGTAGAGCCAAGACATAATAACTGCAAAAAGGAATTTAAAAACAAAATCATTAGACAATGTACTACTGATAAAAGTTATATACATATGGCTTTTTAAATGAGGGAGATTTTTATCTGAATCTAGGACTACCCCCAATGTTAACAAATTTATCTTAGTTAGATAAAAAGTCCATAGAAGCTTCCAGAAGGACCATCTGGGAAGCAAGGATTTATCAAAGAGATGAAAAGAGAATTGCAAAAGGTAAAATGAAATAAATATTATAGTCACATATTTCATTGTTGGTTAGGGGCCTAGGCCATGGGTGAATAATGAGGAAACCTGCAGGCAAACCAAGAGGAAGAAAGGAAAGCTTCAATGGAAGAGTGAAACAGGAGCTGAGAGACAGGTGTAAAAATCRAAGTTTGAACTGGAATGAAAAACTTCATGAGGAACGCAAGAGTTTGTTACTCAAGAGTTTGTTTTGGATACAGCAATAAAGCCAGATGAGGTTAAGGTGCGATTACCTGGCTCAAAGGGGCATATGTGGTGGTCTAAGAGAAGTCAATAAAAGGGATGGGCTACCTCCCTTCCCATCAAAGCTCAGGCTAATGTCTAAAGTGGAAGTGGTAGGCTGGAGTACAGCACTTGTCTAAAGTACACGAGAGTCTGGGCTTCATCCCCAGTACTGAAAAACAAAAAGAATTGGAAACAGTAGACATAGTATGGAAAAGAACACCAAGTGCAGTCACATGGAATTCAGAAATCACAGTAAAAAGAGATGAATGCTTCAGGAAACAAAGAGGAAAGGAAGACCAAGAAAATCCTAGATGAGGATTTAAAGGAAAGACGGAATTTTACATCTTCAAATATAGCTATATGTACAGAGAACATGGTGCCTACCAAAGAAGCTGTTCTGTGGGCTAGAGAAAGCTTTTTTGCAGTGAAGAAGTCAGACAGAGACCTGGCCCAGTGCCCAGCAGCAGYAGCTGTCTGGCTATCCTGTGCTGCCTGCCAGAAGGACCCACCAACACAGATTTCTTACCAACACAGCGGCGCTCATCCCGATCCAGCTCAAAGCCAAATAAGCACTTGCAACGGTAACCCAAACCGTCGTTATCGGTTCTGTGGCTGAGGACGCAGACATGCTCACAGCCCCCTTTGTTATCTCCACATGGGTTGCTAGCTGGGGGAGAAATACACAGGATTCAATCACAATTAGACTGATGTAACACTCCAAGTCAGGTGAAGCCACTTCAGCCCTGTAGATGAACCCAGTGATGGGTTTGCAACACTGTGGAGTCATCACTCCAGATGTGGTTACCACATCCGGCTGCGCAAACCCTCCCAAGCCACTGCTCTCCTGTCCATTCTCAAACTGGTGATTACAAAAATCAGGACTCCCACCACCGGATAACCATGGGATTCTTTTCCCACAGTAATTATAGGGTCTGTCTGCTAGCCTCAATGATTAGAATTAACTACCCACCCCCGAATTTTTCTTTTCTTTTCTTTTTTGTTTGTTTGTTTGTTTATTTTTGGTACCAGTGAACCCAGGGGTGCTTAACCACTGAACCAAATCCCCAGGCCTTTTTTTTTTTTAATTTTATTTAGAGATAGGGTCTCGCTAATTTGCTGAGGCTGGCTTTGAACTTATGATCCTCCTGCCTCAGTCTCCTGAGCCTCCTGAGTTGTGCCACCGCACTCGGCACCACCCCAAATTTTTTAAAAATAAAAACCTTCAGTACTATCCTTATCATTCATAAAATATAATAAGTAACTATTACTCACTGGGTACTTATTTTGTACAAAACTCCAATAAATAACCAATAACCCCAAGGAGTAAACATTATTACCCCAATTTTACAGAAGTCTCTGAAAGGTTAGACAACTTGTCCAAGATTATTCATGCCTAAATAGCTAATTCTAATTGAGACCTGATTCCAAAACCCTATGTGTCTGCCTCCCAAACTAGTTTATGTTTCCCAAAGCCATCTTTCAAGTTGTAACCTTGGGAAGCTCACTGCACACTGTACAAGACTGTCACAGAAAAAACTTTCAGATTTACTTTCTAAATTGTCTTCTGAACCTTTGACTTATTCTTCAGAATGGTCTCTTTCTCTTCTCAARTGGATTTATTTGGGGAAATAATCTGGACGATCAAACTGGGTAAAGGCACATGTGAAATTAGTAGCTTTATAAATTGAGTCTGCAAAGTACTCCAAATTGAGATTTCCAACATGTTTTCAGATATATTTTCCCAGGATGAAGATATCAAAGGTTATTCATCTTCAATATCTATTCAATTCTAGTATATTTTTTAAGCAACCTAATTGCCTGTTGTCTCTCTCCATCCTAAACAGTTTCATCACTTAATATGAGAGTTTGAAAACAAATCTGTATTTCTCCAAATTACCGTTCACCAACATTAAGCTTTCTACCAACTTAGTCTAGTTTTGGTGTATTTCTTTTCTACGATCCACAAACAAATACAGAAGAGCCATAGACAGTTCAAATGGACATGTCAAAGCTCAATTCAAAACTCTGAAACACAAAGTTATTATAAAATAACAAAAAAATAACCAGTGTCTGAATCAAAATATTTCTTTTCTTTAATAAGTGACCAATCAGAAACACCAAACCCAGTTGAACCATAACAGACCCAATACAAACCAAAGAACAGATCCATATGTATACAACAGTGAAGAAATAAAATGGTCCCCATGCTATGCAAAATGAGTGTTTAGAATATGCTATTTTCCTCTATGGGGCCTCGGTTTCCTTATCCTTAACTATAATATTAGAGTTTTGAAATAGGACAATTCTCCCAGTAGAATGAGGGTAGGTGTTGTGGTCTAAACTAATCAATAAAATCAGTAAGAGTGTAAGTTATATATTAGTAATATATATATATATATATGTGTGTGTGTGTGTGTGTGTGTGTGTGTGTGTGTGTGTGTGATAGACATAATAAGTGAGATAAGACAATTATAAGCAAGAACTGTCATAGACAGGTCTAAGACTCCATTTTGCTGCCTTGTATAAAAAATTCTGTTACAAGAACTATTTCTGAGAAACTGAAATGAAAGCTGTTTTCTTACAATATATTGTTTTCTGTACTTTGTACCCCACAAAATGTACTCAACCCAGGATATGGTAGTCTTGGTGACCCAAGACTTTGAAGTAGATTCTTTTCCCCACATAACCACCTGCTCGAACTCAGGATACGGCTGTCTAACACCTGCTCAGACCCAAGATGTAGTTAACTGAGTTACAAGCTGATTGCCTTTTTCTAGCTTCTCTACGTGCTTGCTTGCTAACTGGAAAACTCTAGTCCTGCTTAGGGCTCTCAGGTCCCGCTTGCTATTGTTTTAACTTCTGTGATTGGCTTGCTTGAATGATGCTCAGGAAAGCCCCTGAGTTGTGGTTTTCCTCTTTAAGTTCCCAGGATACAGGCCAGGAAATTGCTGCTCTCCCACAGAGCTTCAGTCTCTACGGGTGGGTGACAGTCCCTGGCCAGGTAAATAAAGCTTGTTTTATGAAGTGGCTCCCCATAACATAGGTATCTGGATTTGGTCTGTTTATAGCTAGACCCCCAGCACCTAGACCTGGCACCCTGCAGGGGCCAGTAAACATCTATTAAATGAATCTCTAAATTTCCTCTAGATTCAGTACTTTTAATTCTAATTTCATGAAAAGCCCATGATCTGCAGAGTCGATTCCTGAGGGTTTAATACTCTAGATAATCCTCTGTATGTTTGAGAATATCACCCAGATCCCAGGAGGAGATCTCTCATCATTAACTTCCACAGCTTTGGAAAAAAATGTTTCTAACAAATCTAGTACCAAACAGGGTCTCACCACTATTGTGTGGCTTACCAGTGGGCTGCCTGAGGGCGTGGTAAACAGTCACCCCATAGGGCCTCAGAGAAGACTGATGGTACACCTGTGGGCTGCTGTCTGTGAACTTGTTTGCCTTCATTACAGCCATCTTGGTCCAGTCAGTGAAGAACACTTGGTCCTCAAACAAGCTTATTCCAAAGGGATGAGGGATGATGGAGCCTCCATGAACTACGGTCTTCCTGTTACAAAAGATACGTAGACATCACACAATTTTTTGTTTTGCTTTATTTTCATTAAAGGTGTAGGTAGTTCAGTTAAATGCTTGAAAAAGCTAAATAATTTATTGTTGAAATAATAGAATATACAGAAAGATACATGTGAAATTCCATTTACATTTGATAGGATTTCCATACTGCTTCTTGGTAAAGACCATTGAGGTTTGAATCCTGGTCCTAGTCAATCCTCTAGCCTGTTCTAGATTTTGAGGTGAAATTAGTGTTTTCTCACTAATTCTTCATCCCTTTAAGGTTGCCTGGCCTATAAAAGGTAAGATGCGAAAGAACATTCCAAATTCCATAGGTGAAAGAGTATAATAAGGGTGAGAAGTCCAATGGACGATGTCCCCAACAAATACTTCCTATAACTGCACTGACCATTTCTCAGCAACTAGCACACAGAATGGAGAGCAGCAGAGTTCAACCCCCAGTTTGATGAAACTATCAACGGATCATACTTGTAACGGAGGCACAGAATGCGCAGAGCTGCATAAGAAGAAAACAGAAGCAAGAGGTGCCCAGCAAGGAAAAGAAATCAATAGCACCTGTCATGACTAACTCTATGTAAGTGATGAATCAGTTAGACACATGCACAAAATGAAGAGAAGGATGATTCCTGAGGAAAAACTCTTATTTTCTTTTTTTTATAGATATACAAGGGAAAGAAAGAAAGAAAGAAAGAAAGAAAGAAAGAAAGAAAGAAAGAAAGAAAGAAAGAAAGAAAGAAAGAAAGAAAGATATTTGCAGCCCTTGAAAGCTAAAAAGCATAATAGGGCTCTAAGAAAGGAATTGGAGGCACTAAAACTGGCTAAGGTGACAAGTTGGTACACACTTAGAAACACTTCATAATGACATGGCACACTGAAATGAGAGAATGGTTTTCTTTTTTTTGGTTGGCAAATTCTAGAACCCTGAATGCCACCTGCTGGCAAAGCCAGAGGCAATGACTCTGTGATTACAGCTGTGCTCACGAGCTTTTATATTTCTTTGGTGTTTCTTCACAGCCAGCAAAACACTCAGATCTTTCTGAAACTCCACTGATTTTTGTCTATTGTATTTTACTTCAACCTTAGCATAAAAATATTGAGTATAATGCTAAAATGCCCCCATGGAAAAGAGAAAAACATTTAAGCAAATTTCCCAATTGGTTTTATAAGACATCAGGTTGACTAATACTTTCTCATTAAATTAATGTTCTGGATACAGCAACCTTTAGTGACAGGCAGTCATAGTATTAAAACCCAATAGCTTCACTTATAAAAGAAGAGATTTTTTTTCTAAGAATATGTAATCCAGTGGCAAACTGTGATATTATCCTTACAAAATAGAGAAAAAATAACCAGAATATTCCTTTCAGTGAAAAAACAATGAGGTCACTTGTAAAAATTAAATTGACCAGTCTATTTGCAGAATACCTGTGGCTTAGCATGCATTGACCCTGGATATAATCCTCAGCACCAGAACAGCAACAACAAAAATAAAAAATAAAAATAATTTCTCCTTGAAATTTGATATATTTAAAAGTAAAGTAAAATCCAATTAATACCCACTGAATAATGTTAAATAAATAATAAATATTTATTTATTATTTATTTATTTATTTATCAAGGGAAAGTTTAAAAACTAAAAGGCAAATTGTGGTATATATACAAAATGGAATATTACTTAGCATTAAAAGAGAATAAAATTATGGCATCTGCAAGTAAATGGATGGAGTTGGAGAATATCATGCTAAGCAAAGTAAGCCAATCCCAGAAAGAAAAAAAAATGTTCTCTCTGATAAGTGGATGCTGATCCATGGGTAGGGGTTGGGGAGGCATGGGAAAAATGGAGGAACTTTGATTGGACAAAGGGGAGGAAGGGGTGGGAAGGGCCCATGAGGGCAGGAAAGATGGACATTATTACCCTAGGTACATGTATGACTGCACATATGGTGCGATGCAACATCATGTACAACCAAAGAAATGAAAAGTTGTGCTGCAACTGTGTACAATGAATCAAAATGCATTCTGCTGTCATATATACCTAATTGAAATAGATTAATTAATTTTAAAAAACTAAAAAGATACAGTGGTTCTTGGAAAACAAAGTATGAGGAACCCAGAAAAATAATGGTCTCAGGAGTAAATGAAAATAACAAGTTCATCCAGGAATCAGAAATGGGTTTTATTTTGGTTTGGATTTTTTTTTTTTTTTTGGTGGGGGGTTGGGTAACCAGGAATTGAACCAGGGCTTTGCACATGCTAGGCAAGTGTTCCCCCAGTGAGCTACACTCCCAGCTCAGAGAAAGACTGGAGAAAATGAATGTTATTATGGAACACAAGAAAGTTTAAAATTAAGAGCCTGTCACTTCATGCAGATCTCAATGCATAGGTCAGTTAAACTATCATGTCAATCAACAAAGTGATATTTTAATTCTGGCCCCATGGCATGCATCTCTGTCAATTTTATGCACTTTCCTTCAAACTCATAAAGCCCCAGAAAACACTTCTTACCTTTGAAGTCCATCATAAGTTACAGTTTCAATGTAGTCGAACCGCGAGTCCACCCAATACACACGCTTGGCTGTCAAATCCAGGGTGATGCCAGCAGGCCATCCCAGCTTTGTCTTCACCAAGTCTTTCCGGATGCTGCCATCCATGAAAGCCCTTTCCAACTTAGGTTCCCCAGAAAGGCTCGCCCAATCTGAGAAAAATAGGTAACTACAAAAGGAAAACAAAAGACAAAAAGTCTGTTATTTCACAAGTTTACCTGAGTAATTTTTTTTTTCATACATAGCATGTTTGGATCAATGGGATTTCCCATTGAATAACAAACCATGGCTGTACAAAACAATAGAAATTTTACAAGCATTTTAAAAAACAGACTGGGAGGGCCCATCAGGAGACTCAATAACGCTAAATAGCAACCTTAACATGCAATAATTTAGCAGCCTAAAATTTTATGTTCACCTTCCCTTACTGACTCTTTTACTTCTCATTTTACACCCAAGAAAATTTATATATATATTTTTTTCTTGTTGGTTCTGGGGATTGAACCCAGGGCCTTGTGCATGTGAGCAAACACTCTACCAACTGAGCTATATATCCCCACCCTGAAAATTTATATTTTAAATGAGCTATTAAATTCTCTTCCTCAACCCTCTACTCAGTAGTATAACCCAAAGAAAATGTCCCACCATTTTCAAGGAAAAATTGCTGATATTACAAAGTAGAAATGAATAATCACCAGTCACCAATACTTAAGTAGCCTAAATTTCATCCAAGGGGCCTAAGACTCAACTATGAAATGCTAGGAGAACTGTCTCTTAAGACTCTTCTCAAATGTGTAAAACAGGAAATTTTTCGTTAAACCTGAAGAAAAGTAAACAGGAGCAAGCATTCTGCTAGGCTGATTCACATTGAACAACCCAGCTTGACATCTCAACTGCCGCTCACAACAAGAAAGCACTAAAAGAGATAGTTGCAACTATTTCCCTCTCTTAAAAATTTTTCAGCTAATTCATGTTAGCATGATCATCTTAATAATGGTAATTTGCAGTAATGTTTGGTGTAATAATTTAGTAATTGAGTCAGAACACAGAATTCAATCTCTTAGCTTGGCAAATACTAAGAAAAAAAATTCATATGCCCAAAACATCAAGTAGCACACCAATAAGTGTGTTTGGATGACATATCCTTGAACAGGATTATATTTAGTCAACTCCTTTAAAGCTTCTATGAATAGACACATAAAACAAACATGGATTCTAGAGTAGAGAACCTAAAAGAAATCAGAATTAACCTCCAATTAAGATATGTAAGATGTATAGGCAGAAAGACAAAATTCTAAAAATGCCGAAATCTATGTGTTTTCACATCACTCACCCAACAGTTGGGTCCAGAGCGATTCCTCTAGGATGCCCCAAATTTTCAGTTATAAGGGTAACCCTGTGGCTTCCATCCAAATCTGTCATATCTATGCGATTAACCCTGGTCTCCACCACATAAAGTTTATTATTAATCCAGTCCACAGCCAGATTTTCTGGAGTGTCAACAGAAACATTGAGAACTTCTTGGATATTTAAACCATTGATGTCAACTGAAAAAACCTGAAAGAAAACCCAAAATTATTATATTTCTGGGTTTTTTTATTTGTTCTAATTAGTTATACAGGACAGTAGAATGCATTCAACACATCATACATAAATGGAGTATAACTTCTCATTCTTCTGGTTGTACATGATGTAGGATCATACCAGTCGTGTAGAAATAAGCATGACTATAGGCACTGTTTTCCTGTCTTCATTCAGTGTATCTATTTTATAGGAAGCAATCATGTAGACCCCAAAAAAGTTCACTGGCAGCTTGCTATTTTACATTGTGTATTATTGGGAGAACATGGGTTTTTTCCAGAGTATAGGAGATACAAATACAGGAGTTGGTTTTCACTTTTATTTTTTTTATTTTTTTATTTTTGTTTTCTTAAAGCCTGTATTTCCCATTCTTGGAAGTTATCAAAAGCTTAATTAAATAATGTGGATTTTTGGTGAAGGAAGTGGTGGTAGTGGTTTGTTTTGATTTTTAGTTGTTATCAAATCAGAGTTGTTAGTAACCCAAATTCTCAATTTTTAGAAATTTTATGCAAGCTATCATTGAAGTGAATAAGAATTTTATTACTGGTACAAAGAAATGTAAGAGGAATAAATAAACAAAATTCCATAACTCTTTAGGAGTCTCTAAAATGTATGCTTTAAAAACTTCCATCACATTACTCAAAATTGAACTTAAATCCATGAGACTTTCCATATAAGATGCTGTAAATGAAATTTTGGCTGTTACACAAAATTCTGTCAATATTTGTTACTCAATCCTCCATTACAGTTCCATTTAAAAGATGCAGGCAAAAATCTGATTTTTATCATCCAGAAAAGTAGAGTATTTTTTACATTTTAAGTGATCAAGTTTCAAAAATTACTACCAAATATCTTTCCAGTTTTGAAAGAATGTCTACTATTTCTTTTAATTAGACTTTTGGACTCCTTTTTGAATAAAATTAAAAGTTGCTCAAGGCTAATCCATATAATAGACTGCTTTGTTTAATAGGTCACATGTAACAGTATAGCACAGAAAGGTGCTGATTAACATAAACTATCTCAAGGGCCTTTTTTGTTAGGAAACAAAGGAACTTTCCCCTTGACTCCCCCCAAAATGAGAAGCTATCAACACTTTGTGCTTGAGGTTCTATTCAGCTCCTAAGCTACACTCCTGAAATTTCTATTTACCTTATCTCGAACGGTGTCTGTCCAAAAAACTCTCCGTAGGTGATGGTGAAAATCCACACCCACGGCCACTCCACGATTTTGAGACTCCACCAGAATCTGGAAGCTTCTTCCTTGAATATCACCAATTAGCAAATCCCGACCATTAGAGAAGATAATGGAGGCCTCACCAGCTAGATGTGAAGAAGAAAACTGTGACTACTCCAGGTGAGTCAGGAAGTGGAATAGCTTACAACTGATAGGCTTCCTGCTTTTTCAAATGCTTTCTTCTGTTGTCTTCTTTGATTCTAAAATAAACCACTGATGCACACGGCAATCATTCTACCCATTTTGTTCATGTGCAAACTGAAGCACAAAGATGTTTAATGAAGTACCCCAAAATCACTGAAAGTTAAAAACAGAATCTGGAAAGATTTCAAGTGTCCTGATTGCTAGTCCATGAACTTTCAATGACACTGAAGAGACTATAGCAGGGATTTCCAAGAATTCTTGATGACATAGGCACCTTACCTCCATGTACAACTTTTGGTTGTGTTAAACACAAAACATGAATTAAAGAGTACTAGGGTAGGGTAGGGATGTAGCTCAGGGGTTGAGCACTTGCCTAGAATGCACAAAATCCTGGGTTCTAGCCAACACACACACACACACAGATTTTCAGGAAATCACTCTGTAAAAACTGTAAAGGGGCTGGGGTTGTAGCTCAGTGGTAGAGCGCTTGCCTAGCATATGAGGTACTGGATTCGATCCTCARCACCACATATAAATAAATAAAAAATAAAGGTCCAGAGACAACTAAAAAACATTTTAAAAAAAAAAACTATAAAAATCATTGCGATGGTGGATCCAATCTGCTCTGTCTATAAACTTACAAGTATGAAAAATCACATATGAATAATATACAATCTTTTTGCAAAAGCTAAAGACAAGAAATTATTTAAAACTCCATCAGAGGAGGACTGGTTAAATAAATTAACTAACTGCATACTAATTATATACAAAAATGGAATGTTTTGCCACTATAAAAAAAAGAATTGAGCTTTATATGCTAATACCTCTCAAAGGTATATTAAGTGACATTAGCAAGATGCAGTAATGAGCATACAGCTTGTGAGCATATTCACAAAGGAGTTAAATATCTATATTTGTGTACCCTGATGTATCCATTTAAAAATCTCTAGAATCAAAATAAAGAAACAGCAATTACCCAGGGAAGAGGGGAAGTAGAAACTTAACAATGGGGGAAGGGATGAAGGGAGACATTTTACTTGATTTCTTCTTACAATTTAAAATCATTGAACATACATTACCTATTTTAAAATAAATGAATTCAATGGTTAAAAATCAGCTGCACCTAAAAGTTAGTACACAACAAATCAGGTATTTTTATGCACGCAAAAACAAATAGAAAATGAACAATTCATGGATCATGTGACCAGTGAAATTTCAGAAGGCACCAAAGGCACTTCAAAATCAAGTGTGAAATCATAGCTGAAAAAAGGAATTAGAGCAGGGGGGCAGAGCACTTGCCTAGAGTGCACAAGACCCTGGGTTCAGTCCCCAGAAGGAAGGAAAGAGGGAAGGAAAGGAGTTGGGGAGTTAAACTTGAGACCCAGAAATTAATGATGACAAAACTGCTTTGAGCACTACAGTACTATTAGACCAATTCCAACAAAATGCCTGTGATAAGGATATTCACACAAATTTTAATCCAAAGACAATCTGTCCATTTTGAAATACTCCCAAATTTTGCATGAGCAATACCAAAATTATTTCTATAAATAAACGCCACCTACATTTGTGGTGAGTAAATTAATTAAAATTTCAATGTCCACGTCAGTCAAATACAGCCGTAAGAACTTATTCCACAGCTGTATATGAGGGGGTGATATAATAGCCTAGACCAATAAATATTTATTATGGCCACCATTAACATAAAGATTGGTCCTTAATAATCAAAGTACAAATTAATGTTGACTCATTCTTCGAAGCAGCCAGGACCACCCCTGATTTGTGATGATAAAACCCTGCTGCCTGCTTAAAGGCTGACATTTCTTTCCCCCTCGGCTGTGGAAAGACAGCTAGCAGAAGTCTATTGCTCAGAGACACAGGTGTCCACCATGTACTCACAGGAATCATTAGCTTTGCAATGGTTTCCACGCTCCAGTATATACCCTTCTTCACAGTGGCACACATGATGGCCCATTCGGTTTTCACACTTCTGGTCACAAATGCCCCATATCTGGCAATCATCAAAATCTGCCACGTAAGAAAAATACACTCATAATCATGTTTATCAGCATTTCTTGAGCAGTCTCAGACAATACTCCTGGTCAAGATGACCCTCCTCTGAAGGTTGGTACACGTTCCAAATACTTCAAAGGGAAGCGTTTATACCCAAATCCATATATATATTTGGATATATGGATTTTTTTTGCAAAGTGTGCTTTCCAAATGCTATCCACTTGTCCCTATGGTTATCTAAATTCATATTTAGATTAATTAAAATTAAGTTAATAATTCAGTTTCTCAGTCATATGTGTCACAGTTTAGGTCCTCAATAGACCACTAGTTACCAAATTGGAGAGTGAAGATATAGGAATATTTGCCATGTTGCTGAAAGACCAATTGGATAGAATATTCCATAACAAAGACTGATCTATACTCATCTTCAAGAAGACATGATCTGTCACTGCAGTAAAGTGTTTGGAAAGGTCTATTTACCCAGCTGTCGTCCCTTTGATATCAAAAAATTATAACTGAAATTAAAAATATTTTCAAGGCATGAAGACTATCTTCTAGTTTTTCATTAATTTATTCATTCATTTAATAAGTTTTTAAAAAAATCCTTACATGGAAAAGCTCAATTCATAGCCATAGAAGCCCCAGTTCTGCTGTGTGAAAAATTTCAATGTAATTGGCAAAGATCAGATGGTGCCATCATTGGTGAATCATGGCTGTCATTTGAGCTCCAAGTCCACCACCACCCTCTATAATCCTTCTCTCTGCTCTCTTCCCTGGGAGGGTGATCTCCACAGCCTATACCAACAGAATTCCCATCCCTTCTAGCTTTAGGAAGTTCTCAAGATTATACTTTCTGAAACTGTTGCACCCTCGGGTCTAAAATTCTCCAGGTTTCTGCAATCTGATTTCATTTGCAGATGAATGTCAGTGGTGTGAACTGGGTTCCACTACATATGTTGTGTGGTCCCCCATCCCAGGACTCCCAACTAGAAAGGACCAAGAAAGTTCCGGGATCAAGCGAGAATTATTCCATTTTTTTCCCCTCCAGGCTAAAACCTGACAACATGGCTCATCACATCTTTCTTGCCAACTACTATGACTAACCAAAGGCAGGGAAATCAATCCTCTCTTGATAGAAGGTAAAAAACCACACAGGAGTGAAAGGCCCTCATGGATAAAACTCCTCACATCAACCCCAAGAAAGCTCCACCTGAGGCTTCACCTGAGTGGGAATGAAAAGTATAAGACATTCCCCTGAAAGCCCCCAGAATGTCATACCCTCATTTGGACAGACTATGTGTAAGGGTCTGGAGTCACCTGTGAGCAGGAGTTCTGATGTCAAACAGAGGAAAAGCAAAGTCAGAACAGAATTCTTAGGCTCAAAAACCTTTCGTATCACCTGTGCTCCAAATGCACTTTTGAACAAGTGCATAAAATCACTGTCACTTTTAATGACTGAGATTATATCCTTTAGATACTTAGGGTGGAAAACAAAGGCTAATTAAATATCTGTCATCAGTCAAAGACAAGAAAATGAAAGTGGAATTGAGGGTTTTCATGAGGGCAGAGAATGGTGGAAACTATGTATAACACGGAAACTATTTTACAACCTCTCTCTCTCTCTCTCTCTCTCTCTCTCACACACACACACACACACACACACACACACACATCATTTTCTTTTCTATTTACTCTTTGCCTCCTCCTACCAATAAATGCTGCTTTGAAAATAACTAAAAGCCCTTCTTAGCTTAGACCCCCTTGGACACCTCTGATCCATCTGACTGTGTGAAACTCCGCCAAGCCGAATGACCTCCCTGCCCTAACTCTGCACCACGATGTCAGCCTGTCAACAAATAGCATGTCCTGTCAATCAGAAACAATGAGCCCAGCAAACTGTTTCAGCATGCCACAGAGCTTCCACTGCCAGGTCAAGACTACCAAGAGCACATGAATGGCAAAAAGACACCAGATTCATGTCAAGATTATTCAGTTTTATTCTTGATTACTACCAAGGCATTCACGGGAGAACCATGTCTAAGATGACAAATGTTGCAGGGGCTTCCAACACCTGAAGCCTCTGGGACAAATCAGCTATGCAGAGGGTTACAGCCATACAGAGTGTTTGTTGAATTGAAGTGCCTGTGAGAGCAAACCAAAACAGCAATTCCCCTAGAATTTCAGCTCTGCTTAAACAAGTATAACTGGCTTTTTAATGTCATGTGTTTAAACTAAAGAGTTCTCTTTACAAAGAGAAAATTGAAGTCTTCTTTGAAACAAATATCAAATAAATGTTAAGTCAAGGGCAAATCGTGCATCCTTAAAGGACAGGAAAGGTCACAGAAAAGGTCTCCGCAGACGGTAAGGGGGCATCACATTCAAAAAGGACCTCAAACGTAGACTTCTGAGCTTTTCTCTAAATAAGGTTATCTGTAGTAAAGTTCCAGAAACACACTGGGGACTTGAAAGATGTCTGTTGTGGAACTTAAAAACTAGTGTGCCAGTGTTGGACCACACGACTTCCAATGTGCTATGAACTAAATACAAATCCTGAAAAGATCTTGTGCATAACATAATATTGCAATTTTCTGTATTGCATTCATTAGTAGTTTACATATAAAAATTTACAACCACAATAACCTTGTTATGTCAACTTTCATATCTTTAGGAGCTGCAAAAAAACTGAGGTAGCTCAAGCCTCTGACATGTAAGAAATCCTAGATACTTGGAAATATAAGCCAAGGCTCGTCACAGACTAATGTACGGAAAAGATGGCAAACATGCTATCTGAGCGCTAGAGTGAAAAAAAAAAAAAAGGCTGAGAACAGGTTGTGGGCTTCGCAAGACTGAACTAGGAGAGAAAAAAAAAAAAAGGAAAAGGAGAGAAAAGTTGACGTAATCCTGAGATGAGGCTTCTGGTATTTCTATTGGAATTCCTTTTCTAGTAGGAGAAAAGGGACTCGCCCAAAGAACTAAAAAGCTGGAAATCGGATTGGCAGCTGGGTGGCAGCAAAGGGGAGTAGAGAAGCCTGACATTTGCCAAAAACAAAGCAGCAGCCTCACCCCTACAGGTGAGTACCACTCAGAAAAAAAAGGGATGTTGCAGGGACACTGGGAAGCACGAAGAGCGCTTTCAAAGACACCTGCCAAATGAGGACATGTGTGTAAAAAGTGATTTTAAATTCCCCGACTACATCACCAATGCACTGATGATAATAAATTTTAAAATCACACTGAAGGCCAGTTGCAGATCACAATGCTTTACTTCTAAAATGTCTTGAAATGATGAGAAACTTGGGGGCTTTTAAAATAATTTGGGGGAGGTCTCCAGGATCCCTCAGACTGACTTGAATGAACCACTCGATCTTAACCCACTTTGCCAAATGCAGTTACTTAAGAGGAGCAACTATGTTGTGATCAAACCTGAGACACGGACTTGATATCAAAAACCTAAAAATATCTGCTTTGCACACCACAAGAACAAACTCAATTGGATTATTTAATCAACTGTGAAAATCCAGTTTTTCTCAGCATATTATAGTTCTCAGTTATACTGAAGAACAGACTTTCTCAAGAATTTCAAGTTAAATTTGCAAACTAGTGTTTACTTCTGGTACCAAAAGGTTCTTCTGGCCACACATACTTAAGATCAACCACTTGTAATAAAATATAATTATGTTGAAAGCCAAGTATTGAGTGAGAGGGAAGAGTGAATAGCCTCACTAGGTTTATCCAAATTCAGTATTTTTTGCTATTTTATATTAAAATTTTAGAAATTTATTTTAAATTCTAGGGTTGAGGATGTAGCATGTGCAAAGCCGTGGGTATAATCCCCAGTACCRCCAAAAAGTAAAAATGAAAAATTTAATAAAAATATTTCTTATGCATATCACGTTTGTTTATTTGTTTAAAATTTAGAAATCCCTAAAGAATCTCAAATTCCTAAGGATCCAAAGAACATCAATTCTGGGAAAATTCTGAATCATCTATGTTTTGGAGATCCATATATGGCTACTAAATTGAACTTTAATAAGTAGTTACAATTACCTCCCAAACACCTTTCTCCAATACCAATGAAAACAAAGTTTCTTTAAACCTCTGTGATTGGGGCTGGGGTTGTGGCTTAGCAATAGAGCACTTGTCTAGCACTTGCAAGGCCCTGGATTCTATCCATAGCTCCACATAAAAATAAAATAAATAAAATAAAGGTATTTTTAAAAAACTAAAATGGAAAAAATCAAAAAAAAACTCTGATCATGTCTGCCTATGTGTTTGTTGTTCATATACCAAAAATAGGGGGAAAAAATAAATCAGAGCTACAAACTCATTGTTCATATCCTAAGAAATCAAACATTGATGTCTAATTCTCCCAACATAAGTCTCCATATTTCTCACAGCAAATTATGCTGACATCAGATTCAAAAATCTCCCCATGGGAAGAATCATTTTTATAATTCAGATAAGAGAGATGTGGGGAATTATTCAATCAATTGGTGTCCAGCTCAAGGGCAACCACTAGCTAGAAGCACCATGATAAAGAATTTGCTCATCTTGAATGTCAATTCTAAGCAAAGGTGAAAAGCAGTGGAATTAACACTAAACACAGTACAGGCAGTGACCCACCAACGCGGTCACCAGAGCAGTGACAACTCTAGTTGCTGGATCCTAGGGATATTTGTGCTTCCTAGAGAAGAGGCCAACGGAGCTTAATGGACTGAAAGCAGCAACTATCTCTCCACCACATGAATGGAAGYATCTGAGCATTGCATAACCAGCCTGGCCATACCAATCCTGCTTCCAAACCTTGATAAAGGAAACCCAAAAGGACTACCCCTATCATCAGGCAGCAGACAGGTCCACGAGGCTAGTCAACTCACTCATCACAAATCCACTCCTAAGCTTACTGCACTTCACAAGAGCTTCTCAGAATTAAAAATTACTCTTTCCAGGTTTTCTTTTGAGTATTATGCTGCTCCTGTTATACAGGCAATCACTCCTACCCACAATTACAAACTCYTGCATGTCAGGATCCTGGAGCCCAACTGTGATGAAAAGTCAGGAGCTCCCACCTGTCACTTACCAACACAGGTGCGACTGTCATTTTGGTTGATGATAAAAGACGGAGGGCAAAAACAATCTCCTCCATATGGTGTCTTGTGGCATTGATACTCACAGTTTAGGAGAGGGCACATGCTCATACCTAGACAGAGAAAAAAAAATCTTTGTTGAATTTATGGTAACCTCTGGACAAGGCTGATCCACCCAAAAGCTTTTATTATTCTACAAGTAAAAGCCTAGTGTGCATGTCATAGAGGTACAGAGAATCTGCCCCATGAAATTCTTCTGCAACATTATATAATAAAAGCTTGATCCAAATTTTAAAAAATAAAACTCCTTTTTAAAAATTACAACTACTGTTACAACCAAGTGTAAGTCATTATAAATGCTATTTATGGAAAAATCAGGTCATAAGTCTTTTTGTCCACATCATAGAAGAGACTAAGAATTCCCAAGTAACTATCACGAAAATACACCTAAAAATGTTAAACATGGCTAGCTTCAAGTGGTGAGATTTCAAGGTATTGGAATTTTTTTCATATTGTTAAATGAAAGTTAACTACATATCTCATTAACTTTTAAGCTTTTATGATAGAACTCCCAAATGAAAGGGTAGGGGATGCCATAGAAATCTTTCTCTCAGCATATTTAAACATTATGAGTTTTGTCAGGGAAAAAAAGTTCTTGGGGTTACAGTTACTTGGGCACAGCTAGGCAGCCACAGGTCTGGTTAGAAGGTGTACAGCTGATGAAATCAGGGCACACATTGTATTTCCCTGCAGGACAATCAACTGTCCACACAGTTTATGGGTTGGGGGGGTTATATTCTACAACCACTAACTCTAGTGATTGACCACATAAAATATTATCAAGCAACACTGTGTGGCCAATCCAATGTTACCACTGGAAAAACAACTCAAAGTACATAATCTAGAAACTAGTCGCATTTGTGGGTAGGGAGATACAGCCAGACAAGACTTTTTTTCATAAGTAAAAGACAAGAAATAAAATATCCAGAAGAGGGCAGGAGTTCCAGTTCACAGACGAGCACTTGTCTAGTGTGCAAAAGACCCCAACACCTCAAATAATAGTAATAATGATAATGATAATGATATCTCCAGAACATCTTTAAAATCATCAAAATAGTCATTAAGACAAACCTCCCTATTGGAGGGGAAGGCACAATTTTTTTAAGTTCCCCCATCAAGAAATGGAAACTACTTCTTCAAGCCATTCTGGGCTCAGCCAAGTGTCCCACCATGTCACTAAGACATTAGCAAACATGACACAGGTTTGAGCATTAGGGTTTGCTCTTTCCACCACCATGATAACAAGCCTAGGCTAGCCCCAGCTTTTACTGCAACATTCTGACATGCGAGTGAGCTAGTCTAAGCCAGAAAAACCACTATTTAGCCTACAGAATTGTGAGAAATAATAAAAGGTGCAATTTAAGCCACTAAGTCTTGGAGAACTGTGTTGTGCAAATGACAACCGATACACTATGTATTTGAGAATCTGTTCTGAAAGCTACCCATATTTTCCATACTCACTACAAAAGTGTCTATTAGTGGTACTGTTTTCATCTTCTCCTCCCGGACAATCTAAATTCCCATCACAAACTTGAAATATTGAGATGCATAGTCCAGACTCTGGGCAAGCCCATTCTCTTGGGTAACACACATGATGACGACGATTGCTCTCTGTGGGGAAAAAAGAGAGAGTTACAGGCCATGAGAGGGAGAATCAGTCCTTTTTAATCCATGATTAAGAGAAGATAGAAGATATAAACCAAGTAGACAGTAGAAATCCACAAATGACCTATATTTTACAATAAATTCATAGTTTCATACGCTACCATTAGCCTTTTATTGAGATTCTAAAGAGTGAGAAAATGGAATTATTTAAGTTCCACTCTTTCTGAAAGAGGCAGCCCCCAGCCAAGCTGTAAGAGCAGAAATCTGATATGAACCTGAAATATCAACAAACTAGATTCACAGCCCTGAAGAGAAGGTTCATGTATTTAAATCATGAATTACAGAATGAGGGCCATCAAGGTAACTCCAGAGTCCCTAAGTTTGGGTTTTGGTTGTTTGATTTAGTGAAATGTTGACAGAAGAAGAAAAACCATAATTCTTGGACACTGAAACATGAGACAGATGGATGGTTCCAGAACAAACATCGTCTTTATTAGATCTAGGACAGGAACAGTGCAGGCAACTTGAAGTATGGTGTGGTGTTAGTAACTTCAGGACAGCTGATGATAACAGCAAGGTAAGGAAGGGCATGATATTTGCAATTATCTTTTCAAATAATCTTTAAACACTTGACTAAATAGTAGTCTGCCCTGCACCTGCTAGTCCCTAGTTCCATCCCACTGTTCCCAGTGTGGCCTGTCCATCACCACTAATGTCAATGTCTCACCTGGAAATCAGAATTTACAAAAACTCAAAACAAAACTGAACTGTTGCCACAGTTCAAAGTTATTTTTAAAGGTTGTAAGGTCTAAGAGAAATAATCACATTTTACCCTATTTTTCGTACATCCTCTAGTCTACAACTTTTACACAGGTAAAGCAGGCAGAGTGGAATACAGAGGAAAGGACCAGAATGTGATGAGAGAGAAAAGAGACAGTCCCAACTACTTTGCCTTAATAATAGGAAGGAAGAGGTTAAAAGTTATGCTACATTTGGGTTCAGACATTTTAGGAAAAGCTAGTGAAGTCACCTTCTTCTAATCCACCCACTAATTAATTAAACCCCAGACAATTCTGAGGGTTAAAAAATTCTAACAAGGAAGGGAGGAAAAACTTAAAAGAAATGCTTTTCAGTAGGAATCTCGCCTCCTCCTTACCACAGCCATCTTCATCTGCAAAGCCTTGACAGTCATCCTGTCCGTCACAAACCCAGTTTTGATGAATGCACTGGCCATTGGGGCAGGTGAACTGGTGGCCACCACAGGTCTGATAGTCTGGAAGAGAGAAACAGCTGCATTACACAGTCAAAAGTCCAAGTGCTCACCCTACTACCTGAACTGGGCTCCTAGAAACTGAAGTTTCTACATCAGTATCTTGACAAAACATGAAAAAAAAAAAAAAAAAAAGCAGGAGGAGAAGGAGGAAGATAAAAAGAAGGAAAGGAAAAGATAATAGCAGCTAGCAGCTTTGGGTCCAGGAAGCGAACTCAGGTGCCAGTCTCTATTTCTCAAGATTAAGAATCTAGGAATAGGTTGACACAGAACAGAGGAGGCAAACTGATCCAGATGCTGAATGTGCCAGTGACCAACATTCTCTTACTTTGCCACAAGCACCATCACAGCTATTTCGGACCACAGGATTCTGGGTCACCATCCCATGATGTCACAGTCTCTTTAAGACTGTCACCAAGGTCTGGGATTGTGGCTCAGCAGTAGAGCGCTCATCTAGCACRTGCGAGGCCCTGGGTTCAATCCTTAGCACCACATAAAGATAAATTTAAAAAATAAAGGTATTGTGTCCAACTACAACTAAAAAATAAAAATGTTTAAAAACAAATACTGTCCAGAAATAAGATCAGGCCCCCACTCATAGAAAATTAGGATGATAATGAAAATATTCAGTGACCCCATAAAGCATGGGTACCAACCAATCAAAACAGATGTAGAGAAAAATCATTCATTCTAGTAAATAAATGACCACAAAAACCTGCCAGTGAATTGGAATTAAAATTCCCCCAGAGTTTCCTTTCTAATGTTACATATTCCTAAAAAAAAGGAGATGGCAAAAGTAAGAGAAAGGGCATTCAAACTGCAGGCTACAGCACAAAAATAAAAGTAGGATCAGGGCAAAGAAGCAGAGGCAACAGAAGCCATCTATAGCACACTGAAACTTTCTTGACCCTCCAATTTGAATGTGGCAGTGATTTCAAAGAAGAAAGGAAAACCATTGCTAGTAGGGCGCTCCTTCCCTTTGGAGCTCTTCTTCCACTCCACTATCAAAGTGATTGGGTCCATTCCTGAGCTATGGGTAATCTGAATCCTGAGATACAATATACCCGTACCCCTGCAGCCTAAGGAAAGAATGCAAACTGTCCGTCAGCAACCCTTCAACTCTACACAGATCTTTGAAAGATAAAGGAATCCAGGCCCAATACATGGCTAAGGCTCAAGCCCACGGCCCCCAAATGAATTTTTGGTTCCATGTGTAATCAAATACAGTGACTCTTTCCTTAGAGGAAAATGGGTATCTGGTGGGAAAAAAAAMAAACATAAAATACTCCTAACCACATGACCCAGCATAAGGGAATCACCGTACTGCAATTATGTTCATCACTGCTGTCTTCACAGTCGTGGTCATGGTCACAGACATAGGCGCGAGGGATACACTCTCCATTGCCACACTGAAATTCGTCACGCAAGCATGTCTCAGCTGGAACACAAGGTTAACAAAGGAAAGAAAAGGGAGAATTTCAATTCCACTGCAGCCATTTCATCTCACAAGAAGATTCTGTCTCAAGTTTAAAAAGAGACTCTTATTGTCGGCAGTGTGCTGGTAAATGTTTAACAACCCCTTCTCCAGCTTTGTGATGTTTACCGATTATCATGGTATAAATACTCCCACCAGAGGCTGACTACAGACCACCAAAATGAATTTGCTGAATGTGGGCTTGGAAAGATGTGCAGATAATTGGCTCTCTCAAGCTGCAACACACCACAGCACCTCTTACACACATTACTTACTGCAGTTGGCTTCATCAGAAGAGTCCCTGCAATCAACTTTCGAATCACACTTCTGACTCGTGTTATAGCAGGCTCCATTAGCACAAGTAAGCTGCTCACATACTGGATATTCTATTTTTAAAAAGAACAGAAACAGCAAGTGAAYCTTAAGTTAAGACATTTCTTCAGCAAACATTTCTTGAGTGACAGCTATATGCTAGGCACTAAATGGTGAACATATATTGGTATACAAAGAGATATGATCCCTGGCCTCCTATTAGATAAGAGAGAGGGACCATAATCAAATAATGACACAAATAGCAGATGACAAACTAGGTTACATGCCAATGCAGAGACTACAGAAAGCTATGAGCTGAACAGTAGGGGGATTTGGAAACCCAGGGATCTCTCCCTTAAAGAAATAAGTGGCTTTTGAGTGAAGAACTGAAGAATTGGAAAGAATTTAACAGTTCAAAATGGAACCTTTTTTTACATGATACAAATGACATCCCAGGAAACTCGTGTACCCCCACACATGATCTGGGAAATAAAGGGTCATTTTTTTCATTGAAATGACAGAAAGAGAAAATAGGTCTGAGCCCAGGGATCTCACTCAGCAGCTATTTGCTCTTATTCAACTGTTTACCCTCTCTCTGTCACTACTTCTTCTTCCCCCTGTCTAGATAATCTACTGAAGCCTGTAGAGGGACCTAAAAAGACAACACCTGGGAACTGACAAGCATAATTGTTCCATAAGCACAAATTACAGTCATCCCTCAGTATCCACAGGGGATACTGTGGATTGGTTCCAAGACCACCCAATGCATACCAAAACTCAAAGATGCCCAATACCCTTTTGTAAAATGGTGCAGTATTTGCATTATTTGCAGTATTTGCATTACACACATCCTTTCATTTGCTTTACTTATTTATTTTTTATTTATTTTATTTTTTTAAATAACAGCAGAATGCATTACAATTCTTATTACTCATATAGAGCACAATTTTTTATATCTTTATATATAAAATATGTTCACACCAATTCATGACTTTCTACATGTACTTTTGGTGTGTTTTTTTGCATTACAATTCTTATTACACATATATACCACAATTTTTCATATCTCTGCTTGTATATAAGGAAGATTGACACCCAATTCATGTCTTCATACATGTGCTTTGGATAATGATGTCCATCACATTCCACCATCCTTGCTAATCCCCTGCCTCTTCCCTTTCCCTCCCTCCCCTCTTCCCTATCTAGAATTCATCTATTCCTTCATTTACTTTAAATAATCTCTAGTTCATACATAATACCTAGCATATAAATGCTATGTAAGTACTTATCATACTATATTCTTTAGGGAATAATGAGGGGGAAAAGCCTGTGCATGTTAGTTCAGGCAATTTTTTCCAAATATTTTTACCCATAGTTGGTTGAATCCAAGGAATGGGGAATCAATGTATTCTGGGGATAACTGTCTTATGGCCATATTATACATATATGGTCATCTCAATGCTATTAACTAGATGTTTAACCCTGCAGAAAATCAGGATGTCCCTTGAAGAACAAAATAGTGTCTGTCCCTCCTGTTTCCTCATACTTGAAACAGGTATCCCTCATGACTCTTAACCAAAGGATTTGTTCTGTTGGTTTCTTATCTGTTTTCCCCATAGCTTAATAAAAACCCCTGAGGACAAGGAACCTGCCTTATCATTTTAGAATTCTTAGCAGTAAGACACTACTCAGTATGCTCAAGAAATGCTCAGTACTGCTATAGAGTTATCACAGGAGACCATTTTAAACAGCTTTTGAAATATCTGAACATCTGCTTTTTATGGTCTTTGACTACCCTACTTCCCGCATGTATGATATCATCCTTGGTCTATATTTTTAATTAAAAATGTTTCCTAGTGATTCTCACGCAGTCTTCAGATTTCTTTTTAACCAAGGAAAAGGCATGTCTTAGTTAAGATTTCAAAGATCAGATTACACAGTTCCACATTGAGGCTAAATTTGCATTTAAGAACCCAATGTGATGTTTTAGAGACATATAAAGATGCATCAGACAGTTCTTTGGATGATCCCAAAGTCTTTTCAAGCAGAAGATGTGCACAAAATTCTGTACTAAAACTGTATTAAACTTGTCCTCTGTTAAGAACTCACACTTTTAAAACAAAATCTCTCAAATTATATTTTCATGTTTTGTGTATAGAAAAGGAATAAACCTAAATCTTCTCATCTCCAGAAGTTCAAACCTCATCTATCAAGAGTTCTTGAGTATCTAACTGGCAAAAGTTACAGAACCAGTCACATCAAACGGAAGGCTCTTTTCCATGACACTCCAAAGGCTTCAAGATGAAGCTCAGTATCTCCTTCCCAGCTACAGGCTGCCAAAAACTCACTGAAGCCAACAATGAACACCAGCTTCCTACTTTTTRTGAGAAGGGTATGGCCACAGAAGTTGCTGCTGTGCTATGGGTGAAGATTAGAAGGATCATGTGATCTGAATCAGTGGTAGGAACAAAGAACAAGGTTTTCCCATGAAGCAGGTGTCCTGACCCATGACCACATCCACCTGCTACAAAGTAAGAAGAAAATTCCCAACACAAACCAGAACTGAAAAAAGTACAAATCTGTTAGGGGATGCCAATCTGAGTGTTTTCAACTTGACTACTGGGGTGAATAAAGGGGAAAGAAGAGTATTCCTGGACTAATACTAGTGTCTCTCATCACCCTGGGCCCAAGCTGGCATAATCTGCAAACCTTTCAATCTGTAAAGAAGATGTTGGCTGGGCAAGGGGGTACATCCCAGCAGCTCAGGAGACTGAGGCAGGAGGATCACCAGTTCAAAGATAGTCTCAGCAACTTAACAAGGCCCTAAGCAACTCAGCAAGATCCTATCTCTAAATAAAACATTTAAAAAAAAAAAAAAGCTGGGATGTGGTTCAGTGGTTGAGCACCCCTGGGTTTGATCCCTGATACCAAAAAAATAAAAATAAAAATAAATGTCCATCACTATATTGTCAGAAAGCCCTTAAACAAAGAAAGCAAGAAACAAAGTATTCAGCTTGTCACTCCATGTGTCCTGAAACATAGATGCCAGCATATTGCTCTGAAGAAACAGTATACTAAAAAGATAAGAAAGAGGCTACAGAATATGCTGAACTTTTGGCCAAGAGACTGACAGAAGCCAAAGAAAAATGCCAGGAACAAATTTCTGAGAGATCTGATTCTCAGTCCAGTCAAATAAAACTTTAAGTGTAACAAATAAATAAGCTGGATCCTAGAGGGTGGGGTGGGGATGGTATGCAAGGCATTTTTAAATAGCTGTTTAAATTTCTAAATTTTTTCTGAACTTCATTTTATTTGTTAATCATCCAAAAATGAGCAAGTGCTTAAGGTTATTGCTGTCTTTCCATCATTAAGATGGTATGCTTTGTAAAAGTGCCTTTAAAATGGTTCAGACAACTCTGTTTACTAATTCTGTCTTCAAGAGATGCAAAAGGCCAGGTGAGGCCAGCAAGCAATTCCCGTCCCGCCATGTACCAGATAGCTCCTGGTGTCAGTGTGTTATCTAGCCTTTTAAGAGCAGCAGCAAGCAGCAGGGAGAAAAAAAAAATCTTTAAAAACCCAGCTCTTTGCAATAGATAAGCTATCTGTCAAGAGGAAAATTTATTTGAACTGGGACTGTACCACACTTTTGGTGATTATTATGGATATGAGGGATCTGGAAGAAATGTATTAGGCAGGTCTCTTGTTTTTTCTGTCCTGCTTTTTGAGAGCCATTGCCATAAAATTGAAAGGAGTAGAACAAAAACAGTACCCACTGACATGGCTCATGCCCCTAAACAACTGGGCCAGCTTGATGTCATCAGGGAGGGTATTGTGTTGGCCAAAGKTCAGCAGTTGACAAACAGCTTTCTTGTCTCCTTCCATGCTGATAATGAATCTCTCTCAATCAGCAGAGGACTCTCTCAACCCCCTGCACACCTTCTGGTCTTTGCTATGCATAGATAACCTGAGGTATATGCTGACTCACTAAATATAGAAAATACTTGGAAATATGTTTCCAAATGGTTTTCTCCTTTGGAGACCCACAAAGAGGGAACAGAGTTTTGCTCTGAGCAAAGAAATGAATTAGATCCTTCTTCTCTTGCTAAAGACATTCATGAATGAGTTTCTCTATACCCCAGGAAGCAGGAAGTCTCAATCCTTTGAGTTTTCCATTGGGAGATATCTTAAAATCTTATTTTTTTTTTTTTTTTTTTTTTATGCTTGGCAAGACTGAGGCTAATCTTTTTCCCTTGGAGCAAATCCATCAAGGGGCTGAAACGTCCTACAGAATTCCAAGTATGGGGAAAGTACAATGTGAGAGGACACATACAAGAACACAAAGGAACTCTTCCTTCTGAGCTTAATTTGAATAGAAGGATTGACAAGTACCTATTAACCAGTGTCCAAACTGTTTATCAGAAACAAAAAACGTGGGAATACCCTTTTTCCCACCATCCCTTGCTTCTCTCTTTTTCACCTTCTCCCAGTTCCAAATGATACATGCTCTGGTTTATCCACACACACATATGCCCCAAAATATGCCTACAAGACTGGTGCTTGAGGATATTTTAAGTGTTTTCTCTGTCAATGATTTAATTCGGAGCAAGAAAGTTTCATGCTATAGTTCTATTTATATAATCAAGGAAGACGATGTAGTTTGAGGACCTTATAAACCTCCCACAATGGAAATCATTTACATCAGAGCATGATATAAAGTGCTATTCTTTATTATCTTGTCAGGGAGAATGTAAATATATCCTATTGTCACAATTTGACAAAATGGCCAAAAAGAACATAGAAAAAAAAGGCAAACTGATTATAATGGAAGTGAAGGCAGCTGGGCATGTTGGCTTCTTGGGAGACTGAGACAGAAGAATCACAAGTTCAAGGCCAGCCTGGGCAATATAGCAAGACCTTGTCTCAAAACAAAAATAAAGAGATTGGGGATATAGCTCAGTAGTAGGGCATCCCTGGGTCCAATCCCAGGTGCCACAAGAAAAGAAAAGAAGAAAGAAGGAAAGAAGGAAGGGGAAGGCAGCATCTTAAATGTAGATTTAAAAATGAGCCCAAGATT